ATGAGTTCTGGGTCTGAGCTATAGAGTGGGTGATGAGTTCTGGGTCTGGGCTATAGAGTGGGTGATGAGTTCTAGGTCTGGGCTATAGAGTGGGTGATGAGTTCTAGATCTGGGCTATAGAGTGGGTGATGAGTTCTGGGTCTGGGCTATAGAGTGGGTGATGAGTTCTGGGTCTGGGCTATAGAGTGGGTGATGAGTTCTGGGTCTGGGCTATAGAGTGGGTGATGAGTTCTGGATCTGGGCTATAGAGTGGGTGATGAGTTCTGGATCTGGGCTATAGAGTGGGTGATGAGTTCTGGGTCTGAGCTATAGAGTGGGTGATGAGTTCTAGATCTGGGCTATAGAGTGGGTGATGAGTTCTGGGTCTGTGCTATAGAGTGGGTGATGAGTTCTGGGTCTGGGCTATAGAGTGGGTGATGAGTTCTAGATCTGGGCTATAGAGTGGGTGATGAGTTCTGGGTCTGAGCTATAGAGTGGGTGATGAGTTCTGGGTCTGGGCTATAGAGTGGGTGATGAGTTCTAGGTCTGGGCTATAGAGTGGGTGATGAGTTCTAGATCTGGGCTATAGAGTGGGTGATGAGTTCTGGGTCTGGGCTATAGAGTGGGTGATGAGTTCTGGGTCTGGGCTATAGAGTGGGTGATGAGTTCTGGGTCTGGGCTATAGAGTGGGTGATGAGTTCTGGATCTGGGCTATAGAGTGGGTGATGAGTTCTGGATCTGGGCTATAGAGTGGGTGATGAGTTCTGGGTCTGAGCTATAGAGTGGGTGATGAGTTCTGGGTCTGGGCTATAGAGTGGGTGATGAGTTCTGGGTCTGAGCTATAGAGTGGGTGATGAGTTCTGGGTCTGTGCTATAGAGTGGGTGATGAGTTCTGGGTCTGGGCTATAGAGTGGGTGATGAGTTCTAGATCTGGGCTATAGAGTGGGTGATGAGTTCTGGGTCTGAGCTATAGAGTGGGTGATGAGTTCTCGATCTGAGCTATAGAGTGGGTGATGAGTTCTGGGTCTGGGCTATAGAGTGGGTGATGAGTTATGGGTCTGGGCTGTAGAGTGGGTGATGAGTTCTGGATCTGAGCTATAGAGTGGGTGATGAGTTCTGGGTCTGGGCTATAGAGTGGGTGATGAGTTCTGGGTCTGGGCTATAGAGTGGGTGATGAGTTATGGGTCTGGGCTATAGAGTGGGTGATGAGTTATGGGTCTGGGCTGTAGAGTGGGTGATGAGTTCTCGATCTGAGCTATAGAGTGGGTGATGAGTTCTGGGTCTGGGCTATAGAGTGGGTGATGAGTTCTGGGTCTGGGCTATAGAGTGGGTGATGAGTTCTGGGTCTGGGCTATAGAGTGGGTGATGAGTTCTGGATCTGGGCTATAGAGTGGGTGATGAGTTCTGGATCTGGGCTATAGAGTGGGGGATGAGTTCTAGATCTGGGCTATAGAGTGGGTGATGAGTTCTAGATCTGGGCTATAGAGTGGGTGATGAGTTCTAGATCTGGGCTATAGAGTGGGTGATGAGTTCTAGATCTGGGCTATAGAGTGGGTGATGAGTTCTGGGTCTGGGCTATAGAGTGGGTGATGAGTTCTAGATCTGGGCTATAGAGTGGGTGATGAGTTCTAGACCTGGGCTATAGAGTGGGTGATGAGTTCTGGGTCTGGGCTATAGAGGGGTGATGAGTTCTGGGTCTGGGCTATAGAGGGGTGATGAGTTCTGGGTCTGGGCTATAGAGTGGGTGATGAGTTCTGGGTCTGGGCTATAGAGTGGGTGATGAGTTATGGGTCTGGGCTGTAGAGTGGGTGATGAGTTCTGGATCTGAGCTATAGAGTGGGTGATGAGTTCTGGGTCTGGGCTATAGAGTGGGTGATGAGTTCTGGGTCTGGGCTATAGAGTGGGTGATGAGTTATGGGTCTGGGCTATAGAGTGGGTGATGAGTTATGGGTCTGGGCTGTAGAGTGGGTGATGAGTTCTCGATCTGAGCTATAGAGTGGGTGATGAGTTCTGGGTCTGGGCTATAGAGTGGGTGATGAGTTCTGGATCTGGGCTATAGAGTGGGTGATGAGTTCTGGGTCTGGGCTATAGAGTGGGTGATGAGTTCTGGATCTGGGCTATAGAGTGGGTGATGAGTTCTGGGTCTGGGCTATAGAGTGGGTGATGAGTTCTAGGTCTGGGCTATAGAGTGGGTGATGAGTTCTGGGTCTGGGCTATAGAGTGGGTGATGAGTTCTGGGTCTGGGCTATAGAGTGGGTGATGAGTTCTGGGTCTGGGCTATAGAGTGGGTGATGAGTTATGGGTCTGGGCTATAGAGTGGGTGATGAGTTCTGGGTCTGGGCTATAGAGTGGGTGATGAGTTCTGGGTCTGGGCTATAGAGTGGGTGATGAGTTCTGGATCTGGGCTATAGAGTGGGTGATGAGTTCTGGATCTGGGCTATAGAGTGGGGGATGAGTTCTAGATCTGGGCTATAGAGTGGGTGATGAGTTCTAGATCTGGGCTATAGAGTGGGTGATGAGTTCTAGATCTGGGCTATAGAGTGGGTGATGAGTTCTAGATCTGGCCTATAGAGTGGGTGATGAGTTCTGGGTCTGGGCTATAGAGTGGGTGATGAGTTCTAGATCTGGGCTATAGAGTGGGTGATGAGTTCTAGACCTGGGCTATAGAGTGGGTGATGAGTTCTGGGTCTGGGCTATAGAGGGGTGATGAGTTCTGGGTCTGGGCTATAGAGGGGTGATGAGTTCTGGGTCTGGGCTATAGAGTGGGTGATGAGTTCTGGGTCTGAGCTATAGAATGGGTGATGAGTTCTGGGTCTGGGCTATAGAGTGGGTGATGAGTTCTAGATCTGGGCTATAGAGTGGGTGATGAGTTCTGGGTCTGAGCTATAGAGTGGGTGATGAGTTCTGGGTCTGAGCTATAGAGTGGGTGATGATACCTCTCAAATACACACCCCCACCATCATCATCATCATCCCACCTTGCCTTCTCCTCTCCTCCGCTCCCCTCTCCTGCGCTTTGAAGCTACGACATCAGTCTGTACGGCTGCACGTGTGTCTTGAGTGCATGCACGTGTTTATCGACGCATTCGTTTCTGTGCCGACCCGTGCGTATGCGAGCATCTGTAGCTTACCGGATAGCGCGCTGCGGTACGCACCCGGCGACCCGAATTCTATTCCCGATTACGGCCAACACCAGTGACAATTATCTGAACCGGTTCTGGCCCTCCGCCTATGTCGGCTCGGCCTTAAATAAGTAGCTGGTGCGGTGTGTAAACATCGCCGCTGGGGAGACAAAGGCGCTCAGGCGTGGTGCTAGCCACCCACCCCCTCAAATACTGCTCCGGCCTTCATAGGTGCTACTCGCGAATAGCACTTGCCCCAAAAGTGTGTTAAGGCTATACGGGGGATATTTGTCTTTGGTCTGGTAATTAGCTCGTGAATCTCAGCAGGGGTGCCTTTAAAAAGTGAAAAGGCCAAATGATTGTGTAAACGGCAGACTTAATTATTTCTATATCTTACCGCAGTTTATTTTCACGTTGAAGCAATAAAACATAAAAATCGTCTTTCCTGGATCAACGAGCATTGGGCAACAATCATCTCTACCGGGCAAGCCTCGACCGGTGCTGGACATTCCCCATTACTATGACTGGGAGCCGGCTACGAGCAAATCACTGTTGACTTCCCGAAAATGTAGCGCTCATTTTATCAACCCCCCACCCCCCGAAGAGATGATGATGGGCAGTGCCATTGATAGCATGCTCACATTGCGAACATTTTTAAACGCGATAAAAAATAGAAGAGGCTTCACCCTTTTCCAGCACTTCAGATGCTAAGATGTTCAAGCGCCACCGATTGCAAGGTATCATGGAGCCTGCATTGACCACACGCCCTGCTTGTGGTAAACCATGCAAACAAACGAGCGGTGATAATGGACGCATTGGCCTGGAAAATTATTTGCCTACACCAGAGACAGCCTATGCTCTTTGGTTCTTTAGGTAAAGTCACGTAGGTGAAAATAAAATAAAATTAAAATAAATATTTTTATTAAAATCAATATTTTTATTTTATTTTCACCTACGTAAAATAAAAAATATTTTTATTAAAATAAATATTTTTATTTTATTTTCACCTACGTGACTTTACCGAAAGAACTAAAGAGTATGGATCCGTGCAGTCACGAAAACTTCAAATCTAGAATCAGAGACGGCCTCCTAAACGGCCGTGTCTCAACGCCAGTGCTGGACAAGAGAACGGCAAAAGGCGAAATAGAGCAAAGCAAAAAATATTAATATCTCGCGTTCAATGATTATATGAATTATGATTATCTTGATACCGGCAAAAAAGGGTGCCGTAGCTATATTCAATCATTCAAAGTTTTTACCCATAACTCGGATGGCACAACTGTCATTACTTATCCAGGCTAATAATAATTAACTCACGAAAAAAAATGGCACTGGCGCCGAGCGTTAGCATAGTGTGAGGCCATCATCGCCGCCGAGGTGTGCGGCGGGAGTTTCCCAGCGAGCGAGCGGCGATGCTGCCGCTTGTTGCCCCACAACTGAGTAAGTGTCACAGCGACTCCTGACAAACAAGTCAGCCGGAGAAACGGGGCGCTGCGATACGACGAAATCGGACACCCGGCGAAATAACCGATCAGAGACGTTGCCCGTATATGGGGGAAAGGAGGTGCGGTGTTGGTCACGTGCGGACATTTGTGGATCGTGAATCGAGATAGAATCGGATCGATTCCGCTCAGTCTCCGTCAGTCGCTCAGTTGATCGGGCGGCCATCTTGAAAATGTCGATTCATTGGCAATCGATTCATTGCTAATGGGTACTTGTATCAAGTAGTCAGTTCAGTTCATCTATTAGGTATAGCCCTGTGAGCCATGCGGCTCTTGAATCGGGTGCAACCGCAACAAACGTTTATTTGTTTGGCTAAGATCAGTGGGGGGGGTGGGAGGCTGAGAAGAATGGGGGGGGGGGGGGGGTGGGGGTCGCGTGGCTGGTGGCGTGGCGGTACCTTCATGACGGACTGCGTGAAGTACTTGGTACTCCAGTCACAGAAGCCGGTGTGCAGCGCGAGGCAGGCGGCCGGCCTGTGGGGCAGCGCGCCGTCCTCACCCTCCTCGGTCGCCTGGCTCGGCACGGCACGACAACGGCAGGGGAGAGGGAGGGGAGAGCGGAGGGGAGAGGGAGGGGAGAGCAAGGGGAGAGGGAAGGGAGAGGGAGGGGAGAGCAAGGGGAGAGGGAAGGGAGAGAGAGGGGAGAGTGAGGGGAGAGGGAGGGGAGAGCAAGGGGAGAGGGAGGGGAGAGGGAGGGGAGAGCAAGGGGAGAGCAAGGGGAGAGGGAGGGGAGAGGGAGGGGAGAGGGAGGGGAGAGCAAGGGGAGAGGGAAGGGAGAGGGAGGGAAGAGGGAGGGGGAGAGCGAGGGAAGAGGGAGGGGAGAGCGAGGGGAGAGCGAGGGGAGAGGGAGGGGAGAGCGAGGGGAGAGGGAGGGGAGAGGGAGGGGAGAGCGAGGGGAGAGCGAGGGGAGAGGGAGGGCAAGGGGAGAGGGAGGGGAGAGGGGAGAGCAAGGGGAGAGCAAGGGGAGAGCAAGGGGAGAGGGAAGGGAGAGAGAGGGGAGAGCGAGGGGAGAGGGAGGGGAGAGGGAGGGCAAGGGGAGAGGGAGGGGAGAGGGAGAGCAAGGGGAGAGGGAGGGGAGAGGGAGGGGAGAGCGAGGGGAGAGGGAGAGCAAGGGGAGAGGGAAGGGAGAGGGAGGGGAGAGCGAGGGGAGAGCAAGGGGAGAGTGAGGGGAGAGGGAGGGGAGAGCGAGGGGAGAGGGAGGGAGAGGGAGGGGAGAGCGAGGGGAGAGGGAGGGGAGAGGGAGGGGAGAGGGAGGGGAGAGGGAGGGGAGAGCGAGGGGAGAGCGAGGGGAGAGCGAGGGGAGAGGGAGGGGAGAGGGAGGGGAGAGCGAGGGGAGAGCGAGGGGAGAGCGAGGGGAGAGGGAGGGGAGAGCGAGGGGAGAGCGAGGGGAGAGCGAGGGGAGAGGGAGGGGAGAGCGGAGGGAGAGCGAGGGGAGAGCGAGGGGAGAGCGAGGGGAGAGGGAGGGGAGAGGGAGGGGAGAGCGAGGGGAGAGCGAGGGGAGAGCGAGGGGAGAGCGAGGGGAGAGCGAGGGGAGAGGGAGGGGAGAGCGAGGGGAGAGCGAGGGGAGAGCGAGGGGAGAGGGAGGGGAGAGCGAGGGGAGAGCGAGGGGAGAGCGAGGGGAGAGCGAGGGGAGAGGGAGGTGGTCAGGAAATCGTGAGTGAGCCACGCGAGAGGGAACGACCCCAGGAGGAGACGACACTGACACCGCAAGCGTGGGGTTAATGTCGTTATTATTATTAGTGAACCCACGTCGCGCCACGAGATGAAGGGGGATTCCAACCGGAGCTCTCGCAGAGCCACAGAAGTGGATATCGCAGAGCAACCTCCTTAAAGTGACCTCTGACCCATACGCGGTAACGGGCAGCGCACTCACCCCCACCCGCCCGCCCGCGTGTTCGTCGCACGACAGCCTAAACTAACATTTTGAAATTCTCGCAGCTGAATATTTATCCCAATGAAGTGCAGAACCAGGTTTTGTTTTTTACACGGTGGTTTTCGTTGTTGTTGTTGTTGCTGTGCAGTCGTCAGTGGCCGCACTCGAGAACCCGGTGGTTTTCATCGCAAGCAGGCAGGGCACGTGGCTCCAACTCCAGCGCTTGAACCCAGGAGGGCCGGCTCTGAGGTTCGAGTAACCTCCCCCCCCCCCGACGCTTGAACTAAGACATCGCCGGAAGAGAATGTCGACGATTCGCGAGTCTACACTCCTGTGGTGTTCCCTCGTTATTCGGAGGTGCTCGTGAAGAGCACATTTCACGGATAATGATGTTTCCCTTTTTAATACATTAGCTTAAATAAATACGTAACATTTCTCTCATCACTTTATCCCTCATCACATTCTCTCTCATTACTTTCTCTCTCTCTCCCTCTCGATGCAGCAGTCGCATCGTCCGTCCCGTTTGCATCGTCTGTCTCGTTTGCATCGTCCCTCCCATTTGCATCGTCCGTCCCGTGTGCGCGAGTGTGCGCTCTGCTGGCACGACGGGCGCGTCGCCAGCTCACCTTGTCGGGCCCCTTGTCGAACATCTTGCGCGAGCGCGAGAACTGGTAAGTGAACTGGACGCCCGGCGCCGCGACGGCTCCGCGCTGCGCGGTCAACTCGCGTGGAGACGGAGCGACCGCCACGGCCATCGTCGCCCCCGCGTGACCAGAGCCGAGCGGGACGGCGGCGAGCCCGACGCTCGAGCCGTGGCGCCCGCCGCTGACGGGGGTCCCCTCCCCCGCCGATCCGGCCGGGCTCGCCCCCTGGAAGGCGCCCGTGCGGTCGCAGTGGGAGGGGTGGGAGGGGGTCGGGGGGTGAGGGGTTGGGGGCGGCGGTGGGTGGGGGGACCTGGGGAGTGACGGGTGAAAGGTCAAACCGTGAACAACGTTTTGAACGCGTGTGTGATTGTGTGTACACTGAACTTCTTTCGCACCGTACGTAGCCAATCGTGCTAATCGGAGGTGCGGGTGGAAGGACAACAAACTAAACACAAAAATCATTTGTAAAGAAAACAATTTTTGATTTAGATTTAAAAGTGCACATCTCCAGTGGCTTCATAATATCGGAAGGAAGAGCGTTCCAGACGGCCGCAGAAGCGCGCCTGAGAGCACGCGATGCGGTGACCATCTGTGTTATCGATGGTTAGCCGCTGCGAGCATGACCCGAGTTTGCGTATGTATTCATGTTGAACTTCTTTCGCACCATACGTATCCAACCATGCTAGTCGGAGGTGCGGGGGAAGGACACCAAACTAAACACAAAAAGCAGTTCTAAAGAAACGAGTTTTCAATCTAGACCAGGGGTCGGCGACCACAATAAGAAGAAGAGCCATTTTCTTTATATTCGGTAAAAAAAATAATCCATATTTAAAGAGCCGCAATGCACATGACTACGAGACGGTGGCCCTCAATAAATAACGTCACAAATCAGTCGATTTGTGACGTTATTTATTTAGGTCCTTAGAGAGCGGCATGCGGCTTCGGAGCCGCAGGTTGCTGTACCCTGGCCTAGATGATTTAGAAGTGTACTGCTCAAGTGGCTTCCTAATATGGGACGGGGAGCGTTCCAGACGGCCACACGAGCGTGTCCGAGAGCGCGCCGTGACCGTCTCTGCCCGTCGGCGGCGTACTCGCCGTACCTGCTGCCGTGGGCCGCGGCAATCGGCGTGCGGTTGGTGGGGCTCGCCGGCGCCGAGTGGGTCAGCGACGACTCGGAGACGCGCTGAGGTCGCCCGCTGACGGTCGTCTTCAAACGCGGCACAACGGGAGGTCGCAGTGAGGGTTATCGGCGAGCACGGCGGGCGAACGGCGCGTTTAAAGTTGTAAACGGTAAATAAGGGAGAGCACACAAACACACAAACACGTGCGCGCGGGAATGCTCTGGAAGTGCTATGTTGTTGATGTTGTTGATGGCGATGATGGGAGGAGGGAATTCCAAAGTGGAACGGTGCGAGGGAAGAAACGGAAAGAGAAGTGAGGCGACCTGCAGTGTGGGTGAGTAATTCAGTGAGTCAGTTGTTGTGACCTGTAGTGTTGTGGGTGAGTGTGTTAGTGGGTGGCTGAGTGAGTGAATGGGTGAGTAATTGAGCGAGTGGGTGAGTGAGTTGTTGTGACCTGCAGTGTGGTGGGTGAGTGTGTGTGTAAGTGAGTGATTGATTGAGTCAGTGGGTGAGTGAGTTGTGACCTGTAGTGTGGTGGGTGAGTTAGTGGGTGGGTGAGTGGGTGAGTGATTGATTGAGTCAGTGGGTGAGTGAGTTGTTGTGACCTGTAGTGTGGTGGGTGAGTGTATTAGTGGGTGGGAGAGTGATTGAGTGAGTGGGTGAGTGAGTTATGACCTCCAGTGTGGTGATGGTGGTGTATGAACAGTGTGATGGATGAGACCAAGCAGTCTGTGTCTGGTCGACCGAGTCTTCAGCATTGGTGGAGGAATACATAAAAATGTTCAAGGGTAGTAGTAGTGACCGAATAGGGACAAGTAAACAATTGACCATGGGCGACATAGTGACTGCAGTGAATCAGTGCATGCTGCATCATCAATCAACCCTGACTCTTCAACGTTGAATTCCGTCAGACGCACTGAGGATATGGTTCGGGGTTAGTGCACAACTCTTATCACCTAGGTTATCACAAGTGCGAAACATTCATAACTTGTAAGATCTATAAAACAGTTCGGTCTTGCATTTTTACTGAACTGGTGAAATGTCTCGAACATCGCGCAGCGGCAGCGTGTTCTGGGCCGATGGAATGGTGAGTAGGTGAGTTCCAGGCCAAAGGACCACTGAATAAGTGAGTGGGTGAGTAGGTGAGTCAGTGGGTAGGCGAGTCAGTGGGTAGGTGAGTTCCAGGCCAAAAGACCACTGAGTAGGTGAGTGGGTGAGTAGGTGAGTCAGTGGGTAGGTGAGTTCCAGGCCAAAGGACCAGGAACCGCGAAGTCGCGGGGTTCCAAATCTCGCTGCATAACAAGAATGTGCATGTCAGCGTGCACCAGCGATACACGTGTGTACGTGGCTGTGCGCATGTGTGCGTGTGCACATGTGTGTGTGTGGGCATGTACGTGTATGTGCGTGTGCGCGCACCTTCCACGCAACGGAGTTGAGCGTCCGCATGGCCATGTCGGACACCTCGGGGCAGGGGTCCACGGCCATGTGCAGCAGCACGCGCCAGATCTGGGTGTACACGCTGTTAAACGAGATGCCTGCACACGCGCACAAAGGCAAAGATCCACCGTGCGGCCTTAACAAAATGTTGGGACAAGTGCTGTTAGCGAGCAGCACCTATGAAGGCCTAAACGGCACACGAGGAGGTGGGTGGCCAACACCACGCCCAGCCACCTTTGTCTACCCAGTGGTGATGTTTACATACACCGCACCAGGTACTCATTTGAAGCCGAGTCCACCTAGGGGAAGCCCATGACCCGTTCAGATAATCGTTACTGGTTTTGGCGGTGAGCGGGAATCGAACTCGGGTCTCTGGGTTCGTAGCGCAGCGCGTTAACTGCTACAACACTGTTCCCCACACACACACAAAAAGATCCCCCGTAAAGCCTTAACAGACTGTAGGGGCAAGTGCTGTTAGCGAGCACCCACACGCAGCCACACACCACCAAACTCAACCTCTTCCTGCACCTGCCCCACACCCCAGCCACCCGGCCTCTCCTCCCACCTTCAACCCACAGCCCTCCTCCCCACCTCACCCACCCCTGCCCGCACCGATGAGCGAGTTGAGGGCGCTGTAGGAGCTGACGCGGCGCATCTTGTCGACGGTGTCGTACGTGAGGATGAGCTCCTCCCCGTCGGGGCTGCTCGCCGTGCTGCTGCTCCCGCCGCTCACGTTCAGCGGTGGCGATGTCATCGCTCCACCGCCGCCGCCTACGCAGACGAGGGGAGGGCGATCACGGAGGGGGGGGGGAGGTCGGAGGTCGCCGTCGTTATCTCGCCCAATGTAGCTGCGTGAAGTTCGCGTCTCCCTGCCGCTCGTCAGTCTCTCTGCTCAATTCGTTTGTGCCGCGGCGTGGCCTATAGCGGGCGGGCGCCGTGTCCGTCGCGGGAGGTCCGCGCTTCGAATCCAGCGGCCGCCCTCGGTTATTGTTGCCGCGCCGATTGTGTGAACCGTAATAATGCTGCGAGCCGTCCTCTTCACGGCGGACGCGCCGACGGCCCCGGGATGTCGGTGGCCAGAGTAGGCCGTCGCGTGCCGGCGCTGCTGTCTGAACGTGCCAGATCTCATTCCAAAAATAATTCCACCGCAAATTACTCGATTTGAATTTGCACTTGCAAGGCTCCCTCATCTTCACCACCGTTCTGTAGAAAAAAAACCTCGACGGGACCCTCCTAAAAGAAGAGAGTCTTGGTACTCGGCGAGGCCTTCCGGGGCAAATGCTCAAAAGGATAAATAATATATATTTAGAATGCGCAGAGGGGCGATTCCTCCTCCGGCGATGGCCATTGTGAATGCATAACAAAGATTGGACGAACTTTATTGCCTGCCATGCAATGACCGGCTCCCTGGGAAATCGCCACAATTTGGGGTCAGGATTAATTTCCACCGAGGTTGTGTTTCTTGGCAGTTGCGGTCGGTCTCAACGTTCCGTGCCATTTGCTTCTTCCCAATTTGGTGCGTCGGCCCCAAGGTGACGTCCGCCTTGCGATCATCGAAAAATTTGCAATCGTGCACGGCGCGATCCTAGCATTGTGTGCGTTGTTAGGCGCTCGCTTATCCGTGAGCAGGAGAGTTCCCCTTGGCCGTGAGCACGCAGCACCGCACGCAGCACGCACGCAACACCAAACACAGCACGCACACAGCACGCACACAGCACGCACACAGCACGCACACAGCACATACACAGCACGCACGCAACACACACACAGCACGCACACAAAATACCTGTACACAGTCCACGCACAAACGTGTTGCACATACCTACCATGAAACCCCACCTAGGCGTGCAAGACAAAGATCTCTGTGTCGCCTTAACAGACTGTTGGTGCAAGTGCCGTGCGCACGCACACACACAGGTAAGCGAGGGATGCTTAGGGAAGACACAACTCAACAAGCCGACGACTCGTCTCTTATAGCTACACAGCCGGGCTGTGCGTCGCGGGCTCTCCCACAGAAGCGTGAGGCTTTGTTGAAGAAAAAAAACATTTAAGTGACTTTCATGAGCGGGGCACCGACGCTGGCAAGATGTTAATTACGTCACCTGGTATACAGGAGGTTGTGGGTTCGATCCCAACTTTGACGCCTGCCGTATAATTGTAGTTTGAAGATCTCTCCTCTTGGTCGCGTGGATTTTTCTCCAGACCCTCCAGTTTTTCCCTCCGGATTTAGAATCAACATCAAACGTTTAAAGTATCTGGTTGCTATAAATTTCCACGTGATGATAAGCCACTTCGTTGCACTTATAATTTGTGATAGCCAGGTCGCTTCTGAAAAAGAGCTGTATAGCTCCGTGGGCCATACCTGGTTAGTTGAGTAACGTAACGGCGCTGCGTCGACACCGCGCTACAATGTACGGGGAGCGGCGCCTCGCAGCGACCATGACGCCGGTGCGCTACGGCATCACCGGGGAAGTTTTGGCGCCCGTGCCGGAGAGCCCGGCGCACACAACCCACTCGTTCGGCCACAAAGCTGGACATTACGCATCCACGTTCTGCCTTCGGGGTGGCCGCCCCTCCCCCCTCCCGTGAGCGGCGCAAGCCGGGCGCAAGCGGAGGCGACGGAGCGCCGGCCGCACGGCGCCACACCGACCGACCGGCCGGCGCGGCGTGGCAAAGCTGGCGGGCCACCGCGGAGAGCCCAGTCCACACGCGGACACTTTTTTTTTTATTACATTTTTTTATTCATTGCCGGATTCTGTAGCAAGCATCGCTCGCCGCCGGGCGGTGACGCCAAGACTAGAGGCGTCGCGGCTGTAATTGGACGGGCAAATCAGAGGTGAGCGTGATGACGACGTCACTTCCCGCTTGATGCCCTGCACCCCCGCCAGCCAACCAGCCTTTAATTAACAGAGTAAGCGGCGTCACAAGAAGCGACGTCGAACCGTTGTGGATTGAGGCTTCTCGGATCTCGCCGAAGGCGCTTTCGGGGTGGCGGTCGGAGCGGATCGTCGGCTGGAATCGACGGCGCCGTCGTCGGGGCGACAATTTCTCTGTGACGACACGGACGGCGGCAAGAGCTCCGCGCGTGGACCGGGCCTTGGCGTTTGTTAACGTGCAGAGCGATAGGAAGCGGCAGGGCAGTGAAAGCGACGCCGCAGCAGGGAGTGGGGGCGGCGGAGTGGGGGGGAGGCGAGGGGCTAAGGACAGGATGGCAGGGGGCAGAGGCAGACGTGTGTGGGGCGGGAGAGAGGCGCGATGAGGCGGAAACGCTGACGCTCGCGGCGCTGCTGGTAACCCACCGACGTCGCGCTCTTTGTTCGCCGCCGAGTCCACGCGACACAAACTCCGCACGCAAGCACGCTGCAAAGCTGAGCGTGCCAAGGGGGGTGAGTTTTCCGGCATCACACGAGGCGAGCCACCATGCACCTTCCCCTGAGCTTTGGGCAAAGCAGTGACGCTCAGGCAGCAAAGGGTGACGCATCGCAGCGGCAACCCTCGGACGAGATCAGATACTCTGGGTCAAAGTGTTCGTAGTTTGTGTTTTTCTTTCAAGAGGTGAAGGAGGTGGAAGAGGGACGTGGAATTATGCGAGCGGTGGGCGAGATTAAAATCCAGCGACAGCCCTGGTGACCTCTAACCCTGACCGCTCGTCCATTTCCCTCTACGAGGTTATCCGAATCAAGAATTTTTTTTTTATACTGGAGGAATCTGATGAGCTACAAAGTCCAGTACCGACTTGCTGATGCTACCCGCTTGAATTACCCGGACGAGGGCCTGCACATTGAGCTTCTGGGGAGGTGACAGCTACACATGGGAACATGTCAACGTTACAGCTACACGTGGGAATGTGTTAACGTTACAGCCACACGTGGGAACATGTCAAAGTTACAGCTACACGTAGGAACGTGTCAACGTTACAGCTACACTTGGGAACGTGTTAACGTTACAGCTACACGTGGGACCGTATCAACGTGACAGCTACACGTAGGAACGTATCAACGTGACAGCCACACGTGGGAATGTGTTAAAGTTACAGCCGCACGTGGGAACGTATCAACGTGACAGCCACACGTGGGAACGTGTTAAAGTCACAGCTACACGTGGGAACACATGTGCGTTACAGCTACATATGGGAACATATCGACGTTACGAGCCACTCTGTTTCAGATTTCCGTTTGTTAGTCTGCGACCGCCACCAGCCACTCAGTGACGGCGGAGGAGCTGTGCCGTCACGCCCCGCGGCGGAGCCCCGCAGTTCCTCCCGACATGCCCTCCAGCGTCGTGCCAGTCAACCTCTCGCCATCGCTCAGCCACTGCCGCGTCACTCCCGTTACCATGACTACCGCAGTCTTCGCTCCCCTGATTTACAATCCTGTTATGAGGTCTCTGCAATGCTAATCCCCCGCCCCCCCGACTCTCCTCTCGTCCGGAACTGCGCTGAACCCGCGCACCGCTGCAGGTCGCCTCGCTTCTCTTTCTGCTTTTCCCTTCGCACCGCTCCCCTTCGGGATTCCCTCCTCCCATCGTCGTCCCTTCTCCGACGTTCCGATAACCCCGTATGATCCCCAGCACTCTCGGTATGCTAGCGCTGCTGCTGCTGGCGGGCGGTGGTGGCGTTGGGTGGCGGTGGAGGGCAGGGTCGGGGGTGTATAAAGTTTTTGGCGCTCGTGAGACGGAGGGGATGATGGGAGGGGGGGGGGGGCGTGAGCGACAGCGCTTACCATCCTCGCTGAGACTGAGGTTCTGCAGCGACTTGTTGAGGCTGCGGGCCGTCGCCGCGTTGCCGATGGCGCGCAGGTTGCCGTACGAGCTCACGGGGCGCAGGCGCGACGACGCCAGCCCCTCCCGCGCCGGAGTCAGGCTGCCGGGGGGGTCTGGGGGGGACGGCGGTTTGGTCGGTGGGGGGGGGGGGGTACGGCGTGGGAGGTGCGGGGGGTGCGGGAGGAGGAGGGTGGTTTGGGGTCGTCGGGGTGGCAAGGGACGTGGTCCTGGTTCGTCAGGTACCTTGACCCCTCACCCACCCGCACCCCGCACCCATAAACCCCAGATCTGAAATTCTGAATCTAAAGCACGAAACGTGGAACCTGGGCCCTGGAATTTGAACTCCCTGACCATCCCCACAATACAAATAGCTTCAAGCAAGGGCGCTTGAAAGTGAATTACGCAATCCAAATAGACACGTACATACACGGTAAACCTAACGTTTCAGACCGGTATCCTTATTCATAGCGGAGAGTTTCACCCGACGAGTCGATCTCTCTCCCGCTATCGTCTGGGCGATCTTTACGACCGCGACCGCTTTCCCCGACGGCGCCGCGACGAGGAACACGCAGAGGTGGAGGAGGAAGAGGAGGATTCGGTGAGATGGAAAACAACAAAACAATCAGAGAGAAAAAAGTGACGGCGCGAGGACAAAAAATCACGGCGGGTGTTAACGAGCCTTGATTGGTCGTGGGTCAACGAGTGAATTGGGTCACGGAGCAAAACAAGTGGTGAAGGGGGTCCAACGAGCGATGGCGCGGATGCCATCGCGACCTCTTGACCCCCCCCCACCCCGCCCCACCCAACGCGCTCCCCTGCGGTCGACGGCAACGCGAGCGGAAAGTCTGCGGGCAAACGCGGACGCACGGAGCGGCAAGCCAAATACCCCACAGTGCACGCGTGAAAGCGAGAATCCTTCGGTTGCGGCGCTGAGGTCAGAGTGCCCAACCGGCAACCACCATCATCACCATTACCATCATCACCATTACCATCATCATCATCACCATTACCATGATCACTACCGGGGGCGGCAGTAATCCTTTGCGGTTGATAAACGACCGGCACACATCGCAAGGAGATCAACATCAGTTGCGGCCAAAGATGAAAGCTGCCATCTGACACAGGAACGTGGAATTTCCAGCAATGGGCCCCAGAGTGGCGAGAGACGTGAGTGCGTGAGTGCGTGCGTGCGTGCGTGAGTGCGTGCGTGAGTGCGTGCGTGCGTACGTGCGTACGTGAGTGCGTGCGTGAGTGCGTGAGTGCGTGAGTGCGTGAGTGCGTGAGTGCGTGCGTGAGTGCGTGCGTGAGTGCGTGAGTGCGTGAGTGCGTGAGTGCGTGCGTGAGTGCGTGCGTGAGTGCGTGCGTACGTGCGTACGTGAGTGCGTTCGTGAGGGCGTTCGTGAGGGCGTTCGTGAGTGCGTTCGTGAGTGCGTTCGTGAGTGCGTGAGTGCGTACGTGAGTGCGTGAGTGCGTGCGTGAGTGCGTTCATGAGTGCGTGAGTGAGTGCGTGCGTGAGTGCGTGCGTGAGTGAGTGCGTGCGTGAGTGCGTGCGTGAGTGCGTGCGCGAGTGCGTGCGCGAGTGCGCGAGTGAGTGCGTGAGTGCATGCGTGAGTGCGTGAGTGCGTGAGTGAGTGCGTGAGTGCGTGAGTGCGTGAGTGCTTGAGTGCGTGAGTGCGTGAGTGCGTGCGTGAGTGCGTGCGTGAGTGCGTGCGTGAGTGCGTGCGTGCGTGAGTGCGTGCGTGAGTGCGTGCGTGAGTGCGTGCGCCCAGCGGTGCGCACGACGGCACTGCCACGCTCCCCCCCACCCACCCTCCCCTTTGCTCGCCCTCATTTCCCTGTCGTCACTTACACACACGGGGATTGAATTAATTAAATTAATTTAATGAATGCAATCAATAAAAGAAGTTTAAAAGATTATTAAATTATATAAAATAACAAACCAAATGATTAATGTAATGTTTTTTTGTTAAAATTACATTCATTAATAAAAAAAATTGTCTGTGGGAGCTTTTTTGGCAGCATCAAGACGATACACCAGTGTAGGCCAATCAGTTTCAAAGACGGTGCATATTTTATCAGAGCACCTTAGGTTGCATGTTTTTGCCAGACTCGATGCCTTGCGAAAGGTGCGTGGTCTATTCGGTGTGTGAACATCTTCTCCCGTTCTATTTCCAGAAAGGGTAAATCCTATTCTTTATTTTTTTCATCGTTAAAAAAATGGTGGACGTAATTAAATTTCCCCCCCATCGCTAATTAAGCCCTCCTCATTTCCCCGCGTTGTTAATCGACCACCCAGGGATCACGTGGCTAACTCCCAGAATGCCGTGCTTGCCTCACCAAAAACAAATCAACCACTCAATTGAGCAGAGTGTGATGGTTGTGTGCACAGCACGTTGATGCTCGGTCATCAGCCACAATCAAGAAAAGGTTTCAAGAAATATATTTTTAAAAATAGGTCTCAGGTCATTTCCCGCCCAAACGAACGTTCGGTTGATGGTTGGAAATTTCACTTTCCTAGGGTACGGTAGCGGAGGAGTCACAACAATGGGACAACAACTGTTGGCTTCTCCAAAAATTGGTACTAATTTTATCCCCCCCCCCACGCCCGGAGACATGATGGGAGGCGGCACACTCTCCCCTCCTGTACCCCCCCTAAACTCCCGCCCCCCCCCACCACTACACCACACCCCCGTCTCCGCAACCAGCCACTCGCTCTACCGCTGAGCCGGGCAACGTGACCTTTGATGAAATAATGAAATGAGACGATGCCGTTTTGGCAGTGTGGATGGGTGAATTAAGAGCGGCTCGTTTTGGCCACGTCAAAAGCCATTGCAGGCGAGAGCCTCGGCTTGACTCATGGGCTCCCTCCCAGGAGGAGAGATCAACAATCATGTGCAGCGGCATTGATGGTTTTATCACAATCCTCGGTGAATGGGAAATTTAAAAGTGTATTCAAAAGAAATTTTTATTTTAATTGCACACACCTCCCAACCCCCACCACTGAATCTGCCTTTGTCCAGCTCTTGACGACGGCCTTAATCGGATGACGGTCGCAGGGCAAGAAGTTGCTCCGTGCCGTCATCATCATCACCACCAAACATCCCCATTACCGCCATTATCGCCACCATTATCAGAAACAACATTGTCATCAGTGATCATTACCATCATCACCATCATCACCATCAGTATCATCGTCGTCAACAACGCCATAATTTTGGGTGCACCGTGTTGCTCTGCTGCCAGCGAGCAAGGCTTGCGGTTGACCGCTGCTGCCACGTGGCTTTGACCACACTCCGAACCCGCTAGTCGCCCGGGAGTAAACAAACATGGAAACTGAACAACAAAAATTATTCCGCTGGAATGTGGACCACGCTCGAACGCAGTCCTCCTGTATTGGGATACGAGGTGGTAGTGAGGGGGGTGATGTGGGGGGGAAGGGGTGGGGGGGGCGGAGTCCGGACGGAGAGGAGACGCGGCGGGCTGGGCAGCGGTACCTGCGAAGGTGGCGGGCGACAGCGCCGGGTGGTTGCGCTCCTCCTCCAGGAACTGCAGCGCCACCGTGCAGAAGTTCACCTCGTACTGCACCACCAGGTAGTGCAGTGCCACCACCATCTCCTGCCACACGGGTCGCGTGAAGGGTCCGCGGTTAGGGGCTCATCGCAGGCTGGAGGGTGCTCAATGTTATCATCATTTCAACTTGCGGCGACGCGCTCGCTCTCTTGGAGACGGAGCGACTCAAAGAGGCGCCAGGAGGAGGAGGAACCCCAGAGTTAGCGGGCAAGGCGGCAGCCACGTGGTGGGACGCCGGCACAAAATCCCCCTCCCCCAAGCTCTGCGGTCCGCTATACATTAAGGTGTTACCGGCCGAGTGAGAGGAAACCGGAGCTCCCGGAGAAATCTCCCCACGTGCGAGGGGGGAAACGCTCTATCCAATACGGCAGTGGATTACGGTCGCGGAAAACCCAGGAAAAAACCTCTGCGACTTTAGATTTGACGAAAGGGCCGCGAGCTTTATTTTTCATCCCCCCCCCGGCCCCACTACCCCTACCCCCCAACTTGCCCCGCCCACCACTACCTCAACCCCACCTCTGGGGGGAAAGGGCGGGACTTAAAAATGGGAAGAGGCAGGGACCAAAGAATTAAGGGGCGGGTCTTAAAAAGGAAGGCACGGATCCGAAAGAGCAAGCGGAGATGGGGCCTGATTAGTTAGGAGGTGGGCCTAAAGAGGAAGAGGTGGAGCCTGCAGAGGAAGGGGTGGGGCCTGGAGAGGTTGAATCCCCCTGCTGAGTTTGGGTACCAGAAGCGTAGAATAAAATACGTGCAGCTGAGGCCACAGGCCAAACTCGTTATTTTAAATTTTTTTCTGCGTACAACTCAAACAGTCCCTCCAGAAAAACGCGATTATGCGATCGCAAGATTCCACGCAAAATCAGCCAAAGTCCGCATATTTATGCGGGGGGCGCGTTTTTTCAAATACGCCGCACTTTCGCCGCATAAATTGCAGATTTCCGCGCGCAAAATATGCGGGCTTGCATGATTTCATAATCCCCGCATTTTCGTTGCAAAAAGTCACATATCTTAGCAGAAAGTTGAAAAATGTTGCGTTCACTTCACACAAGCGCAGCCATTTCCCCTGTTGCCATGGGAACGTTATGAAGTGTTAGAGGCTACGTAGTTAGTTTTATTCAGGAGTTTATGCAACTTTACAGTTGTAAGATTGCACTTTTTTGTTAGTAGTATGTAAATTTACATTACTGTAAGACTGTACTGTTACTGTATTGCTTACGTTACTGTGCACTGAAAACACTTATTTTAACAGAAGATGTCTGTTTTGTATAGCTACCTCTGTAAAACAGGAAGCACACATTTTATTTTTTAATATTTTATTTATTAATTTTTACAGAAGTTGTAGCATATTCATTTTGTAAAGCTACAGAACTTGTTCGACTCAATGTTTTGTAAGTTTGAGCCATCTGTTTGTTAAGGTCTAAAATAAAACAAGATGAGAACTTAAATATTCCCAGCACTTTCTGTGATGTAGTATGCTTGCTTATCATAGGAAGTAATAAGAAATGACTCTTTACATTAAAGTAGTAGCCTAGTGAATAGGGTGTTGGGGGAATCACTTTTTTTTCTCTTTTTCATCAAACCGCAGTTTTTGCAAGTTCCCGCAATTTTTGCAAGTTCCCGCAATTTAATCGCATAAAATTGCATAAATATCCCGCATATTCCATCGCATTTTTTAAGAAAACGTGCCGCATAATCAACGATTTTTGCCCGCAACAATCACCAAAAAACTCCGCGTTTTTCTGGAGGGACTGCTCAAAGCATCTCCCTGCTGAAATGAGCTTGGTCTGTAGAAATTTGCCTATCGGCGGCCTGAGCCATCGTCACGATCGTCATAATCGTCATCATCATCATCATCATCAGCTGTGACCTATCCAGTGTTGGACGGCGGCGGTGCCGACCTTGCGGACGATGGGGCTGCCGTCGTTGAGCAGCTGGGCGACGGTCATGGCGACGTTGTGGTCGAGGGTGGTGGCTTGGTCGCTCCGCTCCCCCGAGTTCCCGATGAATGTGCCGAGCGCAAACACGGCCGCGCTGCGCACCTAGCGTCGCACCGGCAACCGCACACCCGCGTTACACCACCACGCAGCACAACGACACCACCACGCAACACCACCACGCAACACCACCACACCACCACGCAACACCACCACACCACCACGCAGCACAACCACACCACCACTCAGCACAGCCACACCACCACTCAGCACAACCACACCACCACGCAGCACAACCACACCACCACTCAGCACAACCGCACCACCACGCAACGCAACCACACCACCACGCAGCACAACGACACCACCACTCAGCACAACCACACCACCACGCAGCACAACCACACCACCACTCAGCACAATCACACCACCACACAGCACAACCACACCACCACTCAGCACAACCACACCACCACTCAGCACAACCACACCACCACACCACCACTCAGCACAACGACACCACCACGCAACACCACCACACCACCACTCAGCACAACCACACCACCACGCAGCACAACCACACCACCACTCAGCACAACCACACCACCACGCAGCACAACCAGGTCGTCACGCAGCACAACGACACCACCACGCAACACCACCACACCACCACGCAGCACAACCACACCACCACTCAGCACAACCACACCACCACTCAGCACAACCACACCACCACGCAGCACAACCACACCACCACTCAGCACAACCACACCACCACGCAGCACAACCACACCACCACGCAGCACAACCACACCACCACAACCAAACCACCACGCAGCACAACGACACCACCACCCCACCACGCAGCACAACCACACCACCACGCAGCACAACGACACCACCACGCAGCACAACCACACCACCACAACCACACCACCACGCAGCACAACCACACCACCACGCAACACAACCACACCACCACGCAACACGTGCATTACCGCGGCGACACATACGCACGTCGCCACGGTGACGCGCACGCGGGCTCAGTACCTCGGGCAGCGGGTCGGAGAGCAGCAAGTAGAGCTTCTCGTGCGCCGAGTCGCGCACGCCGCACCAGCGCGCCGCGTCGAAGTGCTGCCACATGCGGCCCAGGCACACGGCCACCCAGTGGCGCAGCAGCGGGTGGGGGTCGTTCAGCTGCTCCAGGCAGATGGCGATCAGGCTGCCCTGCAGGCACACCTCCTGCAGCAGCAGCAGCAGCAGCAGCAAAATCAGGGAGCGGAACAGGCAGCCGGGGCGAAACAAGCAGTCGTGGTAGCGGCAGCAGCAGCAGCACCACCAACAGGAGCAGAAGCACCAACAGCAGCGGCACCAGCAGTAGGAGTGCAACAAGCAGTAGCAAGAGCAGTGGCACCAGCAGGAGCGGAAGCAGCAGCAGCGTTACGGAGGAGAGTGTGCAACTGGAACGGAAGTATCATCATGGCCTCTGCTGACGAGGCAACGAATGCCAAAACTGGTCCAGAGTTTGCTTGTGCTGAACCAATGCTGCTGAAATGATGCAGGAAGAACAGACGCGTCCCGTCCGCTCATCTGGTGCACCGTCTCCAACGCGGATTGATTAGATCCGTGGCTCGGTACGACCAGAGAGCCGTCACCTCGTCCCACGCAGAATCGCTATCAGACCCGACTGGGAACTCTCTCGGAGACATGGCATCGCTCACTCCACCAGGTGATCGCCGTTGCACCCCCCCCCCCCCAATCCCGCCCCCCCACACACCGCCCCGCCCCCTCACCTGTCCCGTCAGGTAGTTGTTGACGATGACAGCGAGGACGAAGGCGGCCATCGTGCGGTGGTCGGCCTGGAGGAAGTGCAGGGAGACACGCAAGCATGGTGTCAACCATCACGCGGCATCCACCGTCACACAGCATTTACCGTCACGCAGCGTCCACCGCCAGCGTCCACCGCCAGTGTCCACCGTCGCGCGGCGTCTACCATCACGCGGAGTTCAAACTTCAACCTAATACCTAGCCCTTGCTTAAACGCGAACACCGATTAAACATCGAACCCAACGCCAACGGTGACCCTAATCGAGCCCACTGCTAACCTCCGTCCGAACACTAACCCCAGCAACAACCCGAGCCTTAACTAAACCCGCGACCCATTGCAAAACGTATAAATACACAGCCGCTACTCCGCGACAGCGACGCAAGGCCCCATCGACGGCGCTCACGCGCTCGACACTCGCCGCCTCTTAGCGCTCGCTTCAGAAGCCAAATGCGGCGGAAACACCCACGAAACCTCCAAACTCTCCTCCGCAACCCCGAGCCCTCGCCCCTAACCTTTCTTGTACTTGGCACTACGACCGTGCTGCTGTGCTGTTGTCACGTTCTTACCCGCCCCTACCGGACATCTGTGAAAAAGAGCTTTCTAGCTCATCGGATTCCTCCTGCAGCATGAATAAAAAATATTCTGATTCTGATAAGTTCGGAGGGGGAAAGGGACGAGCGGTCAGGGCTAGAGGTCACCAGGGCTGTCGCTGTCGTTTCCCTAGATTTTAATCTCGCCCACCGCTCAGTGATTCTCATTAACTCATTAACGCCAAGCACAAGCTCGGGGGGGGGGGGGGGGCTACCCCCCACTGAGCGAGTCATCGATAATCAATCCTGCCCCCGCTGCCGGAGTCGCTGCAGGGAAAGCTTTTCAATTTGTGTGCCATCTCCTCGGTTCCCCCTCATCCTCCCGCTGATTGTTGACACACACACAGAGAGGAGTTGACCCCCCCACACGGATCGCACCGACGTCTCGCTGCGCCTGCCGTGGTCGACGTTGTACGGACGCGAGTGCGCACGTGCGTACGTGTCTGTCTGTGCTGGGGAGCGACAGCGCTGCACGACGACCCGAGATGGATTCCCCCTCACGGCCAACACCGGTGCCGATTATCTGAACCGGTTCTAGGCCTCCCCTAGTTCGACCTGGTGCGGTGTGGAAACATCGCCACTGGGGAGACAAAGGCGGCCGGGCGTGGTGCCGGCCACCCACCCCCTCATGTGCCGTGCCGGCCTTCGTAGTTGCTACTCGCTAACAGCACTTGCCCCTACAGTTTGTTTGGGGGTCTTTGTCTGTCTGTGTGCCTTTGAGGTATATAGCCTCAATGGCGGAGCCAGTATTTTCACGTAGGGGGGGCAACCCCTCCAGCAATGAAAAATGATAGAGGAGTTGTTCATAAGTAAGGACTTGTCTCTTGCTTTTTATTCGACTCGTGTGCGGCGATGGCGCAGCCATCGATCGAGGGTCGAATTCGAACCGCGTTGTGTGATCGGCATCGCGCTTGCTGAAGGTGAATGCCTTCAGGGAAGTCGTGTCCTGTATACACAACTGCGCACAATTCTGTGAGTCACTTATAACTACTTTTCCATTACTTATTGCCAATTATGGACTATTGTCCTATCATCTCATAAAGTCTCTGGCACATAATAATATGCCACACAGTGGCAGTGGGCGTCGCTAAATGCCGATTGATTACTAATAAACCCAAAATGATCCGATGGAAAGTAGGAATTTCGATTGGATCATTGGGAGGGGGGAGGGGGGGGGCACGTGCCACCCCACCTCCCCCACTGGCTCTGCCAGTGCACAGCCTGCCTCAAGTGAAGAGCGAGCAGGGACGGTGGTCGGTGATCACGAGCACAAACAGGAAGTACTTACGGGCATGTAGGGGTCAGCCAGCACCGACAGGAAGTACTTGTGTCCGCCATCCTTGACGAGGTCTGCCTGGCAAGACTGTTACACACGGTGGAGGAGATAACGTACGGTTGGACACGCCGATACTTTGGCTTTACCCCAGGCGATACCCCAGCATTACCACGGAGCGAGCGGCGTTACCGAGGCAGATGTTGTTACCGAGGCAAATGTTGTTACTGAGGCACGGGATGGCACCGTGCTACAGTGGCACGGCACGCAATGTTGCTGTGGCCCAACCACATGTGCATGAGTGTGCGAGTGCACGTGCGCGTGTGAACAAAGACAAAGATCCCGTATAGCCTTAACAGACTGTTGGCCAAGTGCTGTTAACGAGCACCTATGAAGGCCGGAACGGTACACGAGGGGGTGGGTGGCCAGAAACACACCCGGCCGCCTTTGTCTCCCGAGTGGCAATGTTTACACATCGCACCAGGTACTTATTTGAGGCTGAGTTAACCTAGGGGAGGCCCAGAACCGGTTCAGATAATCCATCACTGGTGTTGGCCGTGAGTGGGAATCAAATTCGGCCCGCCTCGTTCGTAGCGCATCGCGCTAACCGCTCCCCATGCACACACACACACGCTACGCGCGCGTGTACGAGCGTACGTACGCTGTCAACGGCCAGGATTTTGGCCCAGATGAAGACGAGGAGGGGGCGCAACTCGCGGGCCGAGCTCTGCAGCAGCTTCAGCACGTACGGGAAGATCCCTACGGATAGCGCCTGCACGCACACACACACACACACGCGGACAAAGGTAAAGCCATGTGCAGCCTCAACAAACGGATGGGGCAAGTGCCGTTAAGTAAATATGAAGGCCTAAAAGGCAATCATGCCCCGGCCGCCTTTGTCTCCCTGGCGCTGACGTTTACACAGGTACAGGCTTAAGCGAAGGTCAACCACGCGGAGGCTAAAGGCCGGATTGGACATTGCTCGTCACTGCTGTCGGCCGTGGGCAGGAAATCGAACTCGGGTTGCTGTGTTTGTAGCCGAGCATGCCGACCGCCGCACACCACCGCTCCACCCAACGAGCCCTACCGGATCTGCCCACCGCGGCTCGGGTCTGTTTCCTTGTTGGGGGTGCGAACGCAGCAGCAGCACCATCAACTCCAGCAGCACAAACAGCACAAACAGCAGCACAGCAGCAGCAGCAGCAGCAGCGATGTGGGGTGAGGGACCCCTCACCAGGCTCACGGCCCAGGGGCCCAGGTCCAGGAAGCGTCCCAGGAGGTCGAGCGCTCGCAGGCGATGCACCTGGCTGAGCAGCACCTGGGTGCATTACACGGGGACATGGACGGGGTGGAGGAGGGTGGAGAAGAGGTGAAGGATGAGTACGAGGGGGTGGGAGTAGAGGGGAGGAAGAAGAAGAGGAGGTGGCGGAAGACGATTTAAGGGAGGGGGGAAGGGGTAGATCGAAGGGTGAGTGAGTGGGAGGGAGGGGAGAGGAGAAGGAAGGGGGGAGAGAAAAAGGAGTTCAAGGCAGAATAAAACATTAACACAGGGCAGCACGGTACGGACGCTCGACTTCAACGGTGCCGCAAGAGTCTGTCTGGGGTAAGTGCGGTGGTCAAGGTAAGCGGTTGACAATCACAAGGTGAAGGGGAGGGGGGGCGGAGGGCAGGAGGCGGGGGTCTGCTCACTTGCAGGACGATCGGCAGCTGCTCGGGGGGGTTCCTGTTCTCCACGCCAATCGTCAGCCACACCTGGAACGCGGTCAGCTGCTCGGCGAAGAATGGGCTGTTCTGTGGGGCGCACGGGCACGCACAGGCGGGCGCACACGCACGCACACACCACCAACAGCAACCGACACACACGCGCCTCCAACAACCGTCACTAACACACACGCATGCCGCCAACAACTGTCACACTCGCACACCGCCAAAACCGTCACTCACTCGCACACACACACACACCGCCAAAACCGTCACTCACACACTCGCACACACACCGCCAACAACTGTCACACTCGCACACCGCCAAAACCGTCACTCACACACTCGCACACACACCGCCAACAACTGTCACACTCACACACTCGCACACACACGCCAACAACTGTCACACTCACACACTCGCACACACACGCCAACAACTGTCACACTCACACACTCGCACACACACCGCCAACAACTGTCACACTCACACACTCGCACACACACGCCAACAACTGTCACACTCACACACTCGCACACACACACACGCCAAAACCGTCACACTCACACACTCGCACACACACCGCCAACAACTGTCACACTCACACACTCGCACACACACACACGCCAAAACCGTCACACTCACACACTCGCACACACACGCCAACAACTGTCACACTCACACACTCGCACACACACACGCCAAAACCGTCACACTCACACACTCGCACACACACGCCAAAACCGTCACACTCACACACTCGCACACACACACGCCAAAACCGTCACACTCACACACTCGCACACACACCGCCAACAACTGTCACACTCACACCGTCAACAACCGCCACTCACACCACCATCAACCGTCACACACGTCATCAACAATTGTCACACACGCCGTCAACAACCGTCACACACACACGCCGTCAACAACCGTCACACACACAGACGTCATCAACAATCGTCACACACACACACGCCGCCAACAACTGTCACACACACGCATTGTCAACATTCGTCACTAACACACCAGCTGTCAAACACACGCATGCACCACCAACAGCCACCACCAGGCACACGTTCGCGCAAACACACGCGCACACACACGCACACACGCACACACTGTCAAAATCTGTCAAAGAATACAAGCACCAACAATCATGGCACACGCCACACGCTTCACCAGTAACCATCAATGACATCAGCATATAATAAAACAAATACCTCCTGTATAGCCTCTAACAGACTGTTGGGGCAAGTGCTATTCGCGAGCACCCTATGAAGGCCGGCAAAGCCCAAGAATGTGCTGGGTGGCCAGCACCACGCCCGGTTACCTTTTGTCTCCCCAATCCCGATGTTTACAACCCACACCAGGTACGAATTTAAGGCTGAGTCGACCTAGGGGAGGCCCAGCACCGATTGAGATATTCGTCAACGGTGTTGGCGGCCGTGAGCAGGAATTAAACTCGGGTCGCAGGGTTCGTAGCGCAGCGCGCTAACCACTGCGCCACCGCTCCCCATAGGCGCACACAAACACCCCCCTTATAGCCTTAACGCTGTTAAGACAAGCAGCACGGCACACGAGGGTGTGGGTGGCCAGCACCACGCCCGACCGCCTTTGTCTCCCCAGTGGCGATGTTTATACAGTGGCTCAGTCGACCTAGGGGAAGCCCAGGACCGGTTCTGATATCTGCAAGTTTTTCGCTGTGAGCGGGAATCGAATTCAAGTCGCTGGGTTCGTACTGCAGCTCGCTAACCACTATCCTGCCGCTCGTGCACGCACGCTCACGCACAGACACACGTGCTCACACGCACACACGCACTGCGCACACACACGCTCACACGCATGCGCACACACGCTCACGCACACAGATGCGCGCTCACACACACATGCACGCTCACAGACACGCGCTCATGCACACACGCACACGCTCACACACGCACGCTCAAGCACACACACAAGCTCACGTACAGACACGCGCTCATGCACACACGTACACGCGCACACACACACACGCTCAAGCACACAGAAATGCACGCGCTCGCAGCTTCTTCATTAGTGTCTACTGCGCGTACAGCCCCCGTGCATGTGCGACCGCCCGCCAAATATACGTGTCCGGACATTTCAAGTAGGAAATCATTCCCATCGTCCCGCCGAGCACCCTCATGGCCTCCTCACTGTCGTCGCCGTTTCATCATCGTCGCCATCTCACCTCAGACGACCCCCATACCACCCCCCCACCACCCCCCCCTCCCGCTTCAATCGCACCCGCAGATCGGCTTTGGCGCAACCGACGCGATCACTCACGGCCCCCCCCCTGCCCCCAACCCTTCGTACGGGGGGCTCAGCGCCCCTCAAGGAATATTCACACGTGGGATGGAAGGGACAGGAGGGAGGGAGGGAGGGAGAGAGGTAGGGAGGAAGGGAGGTAGGCAGGGAGGGAGGGAGGCTGAACAGACCCTGAATGCGTTGCTGTCTTCGATGATGGTCGGCAGCTGGGAGAGGCAGATGTCCACGGCAAGATCCCACGCCTGCCTGTGTGTCCAGGCGTGTGCGTCCGTGCGTGCGTCCATGTGTGCGTATGTGAGTGAGTGTCCGTGCGTGTGTCCGTGCGCGCGTGTCCATGTATGCGCGTCCGTGCATGAGCGTGCGTGTGTCCGTGCGTATGTCCGTGCGTGCGTGTACGTGCGTGCGTGTACGTGCGTGTGTCCGTGCGTGTGTGTACGTGCGTGTGTCCGTGTCCATTCGTGTGTGCGTGCACAATGCAGCGCAAGGGAGAACGAGAACGTGAGAGGCGCCGAACATTCGGTCGCACGCCCGGCGCCTAATAGCTCAACCAGAGCACCAGTGCACGGGAAGAATCCACGCATGGCCACGAGCTCGGCACGAACCTTGTTGGGGGGGGGGGGGGGGGGGGGGCGCTCAACTGAGTTGCTCGGCAAAAACTCGCAGCTGTGAGGTAGCGAGTTCAAATTGAGATCATTGTCAACTGGGCACAAACGTAAAATCATCACAATCACCATCAGCAGCGGCAGCATCACCGTCATCATCACCACTGAATCAAGATGACCTTGTAATTGCCGTGCTCTTCTTTCATTTTACTATTCTTACTCCGCTCGTGTACCCGGGAAAGCCTCGCCGAGCTTCACCCATTCTTTTTCTGGAGGCTCCCGCCGCCAAATCTTGACGGGAGGTGGGGGTGGAGCAGGGCAACGATACGGTTGCTTTTCGATGTAAAGCTTTCGTGACTGCAGGGATTCATCTTCTTGGTTCCTTCGGTAAAGTCACGTAGAAGGTAGATAATAAAATTATAAAAATAAAACATTATTAAATAATTCTCACATTTCGGCCACAACGCAAGCAGCCGTCCTCAGGTGAAAGACAGACCTGTCTTTCCGACAGACCTGTTCTTCACCTGAGGACGGCTGCTTGCGTTGTGGCCGAAACGTCGTGAGAATTATTTTATTATGTTTTATTTTTATTATTTTATTATCTCCCTTCTACGTGACTTTACCAAAAGAACCAAGAAGACACGGTTGCTGTACGTACATTCTGCAACCGAGTGATGCGCTGCGTCAGCTTTTTAAAACGTCGGCAAACTTTGAACCCCGACGACGGGCACGCGAATTACATCGGCGGGATCGTTTTCAACGTCCGCTGCGAAGCGAGAGACGGCGCGCGTTCTATCGTCGCGGTTTTCGTTTATGACGGGTCGCGCTCGTCACGCACACACACAAAAGCACTCGCCGCAAATGAAGCACGAAAAACCTCGCCTTGCTCGTCAAGGAGCGTAAACCATCACGCGAACTCCGGGTCCCTTCCTCGCAGCAGCGTCGGCTTTTGACTGGCCGTCGAACAAAGACGGTCACCGCGCTTTCTTCCAATATAAGGAAGCAGCTGGAGCTATGCACTTGTACATTTAAATTGAAAACTCATTTCTTCAAAAGTGCTTTTTGTGTTCAGTTTGCCGTCCTTCCCTCGCGCCTCTGATTAGCACGGTTGTCTATGTACGGTGAGAAATAAGTTAAACATACATACATAGACTCGGACAGAGACCCATAGACTCACACCGAGACCAATAAACTCGTAAAGAGATCCATTGACTCACACAGAGACCCATAGACTCACACAGAGACCCATAGACTCACACAGAGACCCATAGACTCACACAGAGACCCATAGACTCACACAGAGACCCATAGACTCACACAGAGACCCATAGACTCACACAGAGCACCATAGACTCACACAGAGACCCATAGACTGACACAGAAATTCACACAGAGACCCATAGACTCACACAGAGACCCATAGAACCACACAGAGCACCATAGACTCACACAGAGCACCATAGACTCACACAGAGACCCATAGACTCACACAGAGACCCATAGACTCACACAGAGACCCAAAGTTTGTTGTCCTTCCCTCAAACCTGTGATTAGCACGGTTGCCTACGTACGGTGTGAAAGAAGTTCAACATAGGTACGCACAACATACATAAAATAACCAAGGTGGCCGCAGGATTGGAACCGCGAACCTCTGCCACGAGGCAGGCGGGCGCGCTACCGCCGGGCCCCAGTTAAGTTTAAAACTAGAGTTCAAATATATCAGCAGCTTTTAGAGTCTTCATCAATCAACCCTTCGTAGATTTTGCACCTTGGCTCTGTCCATGATATTTACTCAACAAAATTGGCATCGGATTCTCCGATTGCTTCATTTCGCTGCCTTAAATAAATGTGAATCAATTAATTTAAAAAAACGTGCTGTCTTCTCCCAGCATCTTGCGGCACCTCGACCTTTCCCAGACAAAAGTATATTCGTGTTCGGTCCCTCCTTTTACTCCCATCACACGGCTAAGAACTCTCCATCACATGGCTAAGAACTCTCGTTATTTTTAATACATTTGGCCAAAATCCAGCTTCCGAGACTTTAAAAGAACAATTCCATTCCATCGACTCGCAGGGAAGGCGCTGATCACCGGGGCTACGCATGAAGAGTGTGAATGAGAAGTACACTAAAAGGGGGGGAGGGGGGGAGGGAGGGGGGGAGGGAGGGGGGGAGGGCACTGAGAATTTCCAGGGCCGTTCTCTAACAATGGCGGGCTCCGCGGCGGGCGCCACTCGCGAGCGGAAATGAATTTGTCTCGTCGTGACAATTCTCCAATATCGGCACGCACAATCGGAATGAAACTCTGGAGAGGCGAAAAGAGCACACGAGGGGGGGGGGGGGTTTGTCGTGGGAGGGGGGGGTGGCGGTGCTACAAATAAAAAATTAAAGGGGAAGAGATATTTTTCAATCGTCGCGGCCAAAAAGTCAACGTGGAAGATGTTGCACCTCGTTGCGCCGAAAATCTAACGTCTGCCAGCCGTCGCTTTGCGCTGGGATAAATGTCCGTTGGGCGGGACGGGAGGAGGGGGTCGAGGGTGGTGGGGGGGGTTGGGGGTGGGGCAGCAGAAGCCGCGGTATATTCAGGCGTCGTACGAAATGAAGATTTTCCCTCTTCTCCCGCGGCGTGGAAATTGGTGTGATCGAGCGAGGGAGGGCTGGGAGGTTGTGTTGGAGGGGAGGGGGGGGAGGGGGGTCGGAGCATTTGGTCGCCTCTCTGGAAGTGATCGCAACGGTGAGAAAAAACGATATTAATTTCGATTATAGGAACGGCGCTGACATTAACGCTGCCTGACAGCGGTGAAATTGACGGCGGTGGGTGATTGGGGAAGGGGAGGAGGGGGGGGGGGTTCTCGGGGAGGTGCAGCGGCACCACGGTGGGGAGCGTGTAGCCCTGCAGTGGTGAGCTGTGGCACCGGGCTAACGAGTGGCTGACGAGTGGCTGACGAGGTGTGGGCTAATGAGGTCTGGGCTAATGAGGTCTGGGCTGACGAGTGGCTGACGAGGTGTTGGCTAATGAGGTCTGGGCTAACGAGTGTGTGACGAGGTCTGGGCTAATGAGGTCTGAGCTAGCAAGTGTGTCACGAGGTCTGGGCTAATGAGGTCTGGGCTAACGAGTGTGTGACGAGGTCTGGGCTAATGAGGTCTGGGCTAACGAGTGTGTGACGAGGTCTGGGCTAATGATGTCTGGGCTAACGAGTGGCTGACGAGGTGTGGGCTAATGAGGTCTGGCTAACGAGTGTGTGACGAGGTGTGGGCTAACGAGTATGTGACGAGGTGTGGGCTAACGAGTATGTGACGAGGTCTAAGCTAACGAGTGGGTGATGAGTGGGGTTCTCGGTCTGGGTGTTGAGTTGAGCTCTGGTTCTGGGCACCAGGTGTGTTTTAATCCACTCTGGAGACCCAGACCAGGGATTAGGAGACGCGAGATCAGCACAGGGAGTCCAACTGCGAGCACTCGGCGTACCGCGACGAGAGAGGGAGAGGGAAGGAAAGAGAGTGAGAGGAGAGAGAGGCAAGAGAGGCTCACCACATGGGGTGGTGGTACATTGAGGGCAGCTTGGGGCAGCTCATGGGCGTGCAGTTGTACGTGCGCATGATGCGTTCCGCCAGCAGGAAGTTGCGGAAGAGGCTGGCCACCAGCAGATCCTGGCGGAAGAGCTTCTGGAAGAGATCTGGGAAGGCCGGAAGAGGAGGAGGAGGAAAGGTGCAGCGCTCCCATTAGCGACGAGCCGAGCGTGTGGCCGTCACCGCCACCTCACCTGGAAAAGGTCAAGCAGGGTCGCCGTGAAGGCTGAGCTCACCTCGAGGGAGGACGTTCCACGCGATGGTGTCGGTGATCGCCGTGAAAATCCAGTTGAGCTCGCCCAGAGGGGTCCTCCTGTCGTTTAGGCGTCCGGGGATTCTGCCGAGGGAAAATTCATCACCATCATCAGCAGCAGCAGCAGCTATGCTCGATCCGCTGCTGGATAAAGGACAGCCCGAGCCGTCGCTGTCTCTCGAGGTCTCGCGGCGCAACAAAGGATCCGCCTCTGCCAAGTTCGGATCCACTTGCCTCCGTGTCCACGTACAAGTCGGCAATATAATCGTGTGTGCGAGGCGGGGGCGACAACACACCGACCGCAAACTACGCTCCCACGCTCGCCCGGGGGGGCTCCCAAAGCGGAGGCACAACGGTCACGTTGCTTTTCGACTTCCAGATTACAACAAGCGCTCCGACCTGCTCTCGTCCCCCTCTTCAAGTAATGATGTTCAAAAAGTTAAACGCACGCGCGCGCACAGCTTGCACAAACACTACGTACACACGCACGTGTGTGAAAACACACTCGCGCGCACACACACGCGCTTGTCTATATATACGCACACAAGACAGAGATCCCCTGCAGAGACTTGACAAGTGCTGTTAGCGAGCAGCGGCCACGAAGGCCGGCACGGCACATGAGGGGGTGGGTGGGTCGCCAGCACCACGCTCGGCAGCCTTTGGTCCCCCCCAGTGACGATGTTTGCACGCCGTACCCGGTGCTCATTAAAGGCTGAGTCGACCCGAGGGGAGGCCCAGGACAGTATTCGTCACTGGATGCTGGCAGTACGTACACGGGAACTGAACTCGAGTCGCCGGGTTCGCAAGCGCAGCGAGCTAATCACCGAGTCCCCGCTGCCCACAAAGACACAGCTTTACCCATATAGCCTTCAGCAGACTGTTGGGCCAAGTGCTGTTAGAGAGCACTTATGAAGGCCGGGAAGGAACACAAGCTCCTCAAACCATCGCTCGCGCGGTCGAGGGGTGGGGGGGGGATGGGGGGGATGAGGGTCCATTTAGTTATCTAACAAAACTAATTAATTTCTTCAATTACCCGACCAATCTGCGTAAATGACCCTTTAACGTTTTCCCTGGCGCTTTAATTTGCAGGGCGATACAAAAGAAACAAAAAACGCAGCGTTGTCAAGGGTGCTCCACGATTTTGGAGCGTGGGGAGGACAACCTTCCCCCCCCCCATTCCCTCCCCCCACCATCCCCCACCTGCTGCATCCCTCCCCCCACCCCTCGCTAACTCAGGTTTAATTTCGTTCCTCGCCGTCGCGTTTGCCGCTTTGGCGGCGGCCGTCACGACGCGCGTCCCCGCTTTGTGCGTCAGGTCGTGACGTTCGTCTCTGTTCTCGATGGTGCGTGCGCGCGAGCGTGAATGCGCGAGTCAACGCCGGCGTGCGCGCACGCAAGCGAGTGAGTCACGGGGCTGGGTTTTTTTTTTTTTAAACAGAGTAGGCACAAAGACGAGTAACGACGCACGACAAAACGATCAGCAAAACAAATCCTCCGTGACGAAACGCCACTCCTGTGTTTCTTTTTGAGAGCGAGCGAGCCGGCCAACGGAGCCGGGGGATAAACTTGTGCCGTGCGGCGATTGGCCGCTCGCCATTTGCTCGCCAGAGAGACTCATTGGTGGATTGTGAAATTGCGAGTTTATTTATTTGATCAAATAACATTGTTCCTAAAGATGTTTATCATGCAGGACGAGTCACAGGAGAGGACCAGTCAGAGTCGAGGACCAGTTTAATTTATTTATTTTGGCGAGCTATGCGCGCTCTTGACTGGGGTGCAACCGCAACAAAACAAAAACATGAACAAGAAACATCTTAAAGTGACTACACGCAACAAAGCAAGAGGATGGGCCCCTACTTCTCGATGAGGTCCAGGGTGACACCAGGCACCAGCTTGCCACTGCTCTGGCTGCAGAACCTGCCACGAACGCACACACGCACACACACAGAGGCACACAACAAACATATCCCCTTTAGCCAGTGTTCTCTTATTAGTCCACGTGCTTGTCCATGTTTTCACCCAGGAGAGCCTCACCAAAGATTTCTTTCAGGAGGTACCTGCCAGCTTTTCAGTTGGTGGCGGGGGGGGGGGGGGGGCAATGGTACTCTGTGTAATCCCAATCGAGTAATTTACAGATGCGTTTATTAAATCGTACGTTTCTATTTTTTTTCATTCAGAGACGGTTGGCGGGCGGTGATAGCGCAAAGAAGTGGCTTATCGTGTGGAAATTGATAGCAGTCGAATACGTGAAACGTATGTTTCTAAACGTGGAGGGAAAAACCCGGAGGAGCCGGAGAAAAATCCACACGACCACGGGGAGAAAGAGAGACGTGCAAACTCCAGGGTTGGGATCGAACCCTCCTGTATACCAGGCAAATTAGTTAACATTTCGCCACCGTTGGACCCAATCAAGCGAGCGAGATGGTCGGCAGGCGGGCGGGCGAGAGAGCGAGCATGTGGATGGCGGACGGGCGGACGCACCATCGCAGGGAGATCTTGATGGGCGTGGTGAGGCAGGAGGTGAAGAGGTCGGCGGGCAGCTCGGGGTTCATGGGCAGCAGTTGCGACGCCTCGCAGGCGGCCAGCTGGATGCAGTCGCGCATCGACGTCGGGGGCATCCCCACCTGCGACAGCGGATGGCTCGGGCTGATGGTCGACACCTGCCGGTGGGGGGGGGGGTGTTCCAAGGACGCGGCAAGGTCAAAAGGTCGGGGGCGGTTAAGGTCGCGTTCACGGCGGAGCGGGCGTGAAACCGGGTCGCCGGGAACGCAGCGCGGCTTGGAAAGTCGAGCAAAATGGCAATGACAGCAACGCTTATATTGTGCGTACAAAGACAACGAACCCCCCCCCCCCCCCACCGTGTAGCCTTAACAGACTGTTTGGGGCAGGTGCTGTTAGCGAGCAGCACCTGTGATGGCCGACACGGCACACGACGGGGCGGGGGGAGTGGGTGGGCAGCACCACCCCCCGCCTCCCCCGGCCGCCTTTGTCTCCCCGGTTGGCGCGAGTTTCCGTGAACAAGGCTGCGAGACGGCGGCTGCGTTTATTCGAAAGCAGCTCGTGCGGTGACACGGAGTAAAAAGCAGTAAACTAAACAGGTGCGGGAGGGCGGAGTTGCGTACATTACAGGAGCCTTGGGATGAAGAGTCCGCAGAGAGGGAAGCAAGAGTCGCGGTGCGGACCGACGTCTGCCATGCGACAGGAGAGAGAGACAAAAACACACAACGCTCCGAGTGAGATTAATATAATTATCACTGCGGCCCCGCACGGCTGCGCGTGCTCCATTTCCAACTCTTGACAATCGCGAACAACAAAAGAGGATGAGAGAGGCAGAGAGGGGGGAGAGAGAGGAGGGGGCAGGGCGGCGGCGGGGGGGGAGGTCTGCCGAGGACGGGGAGAGATTTGGCGGCCGTGAGTTGATGCGGAGGTGAGCGCTGAAGCGAGAGAGAGGCGGCGATGAACATGCAAAGGGGATGCGCAGCGATGGAAAGACCGGGGGAGTGAACGTCACGGACGAGCACACGTGCAGTAGGCCGTGAGACGTTGAGACACCAGACACCGGGCACACAAAGTGCACACGGCTGCGGAGGCATGCGGACATGCGGCTGGTCACTCGTACGCAATGGAACGCGAGAGAACACGTTGACACACACACACAGACGTACATAAAAACACGCAGAGACGGATAAAAGATGGCGAAGATGGACGCGCGAAACAAGCACACGCCGGACAAATACACAAACGCACGCGCACAGAAGCGAACGCGCACGCTAGGCACCCAAACACCGACATGCAAAAGCACGCCGAACATAAACACGCACACCCCAGGCAAACGCACAATCACGCGCACGCACAAAACACACAATGTCACACACACACACTCCACTCACCAGACACACAAAGAAAAATCCCCCGTATAACCTTAACAGACTGTTGGGGCAAGTGTTGTAAGAGAGCACCTATGAAGGCCGGCACGGCACGCGAGGGACTGGGTGACCACCATCACGCCCGGTCGGCATTTGTCTCCCGAGCGGCGATGTTTAACACACCGCACCAGGTACTCATTTGAGGCCGAGTCGACCTAGGAGAGGCCTCGAACCGTTTCAGATAATCGTCAATTGTGTTTGGCCGTGAGCATAAATCGAATTCGGGTCATCGGGTTTGTAACTCGGCGCGCTAATCGCTACCCTACCATCCCCCGCAACACCACATGCACACGCGCATGCACACGCACTCGCACGCGCGCGTGCAAGCATGCCGCACCTCGAGCTCCTGCTCCCTCTGCAGAGAGAACTGCAGGAAGGACTTGACGATGATGCCGGCATTGGAGCAGTCGTACACGAAGATGGAGGGGCTGCCCATCCACGTCTGCAGGTCGTAGATGGACAGCGGGATGTACTGCGTGAAGTTCTGTGACCCGGGCAACACGAGCACGGAGGGCGTGAGTGACTAAAGGCCGCCAGGGCCGGGGACGGCCGGCGGCCATCGCGAGCGGCCGGGCGCCGGGCGATAAGGCGCCGTCGACGCACGGGCGGCGGGATTGCTCGCGAGACGGCACGCGAGCAAACGGGATCGAGATAGGGATTCGCGTGCTCGCGGAGTGGACGACATCATGATCACGGTCATCGCGAGAGCGTCATCGTGGAGCGGATGTCATCACGACGGTGATGGTGGAAAGAAAACCTAATCACGGAGAAGATTACATCACGGTCACAATCTTCGCAAGAGCGAGACCAGATGGCGTGATATGGTTGGGAACATTACAAAAGTGCAGGACGGAGACGGTAAGTGTAATTACAACAATTATTTTTAAAAAAGTGACCGGGCCCGCAGACTCCTCGATGAATCTCAAGACTCTCTTTGCGAAGAGTCCTGCATTGAGACGTGTGACCAATTCCACTTCAAGCAGCGGTTCGGCTTCGAGTGGGAGTAAACCGGGAGGGCAGCACCCGGTGAAAAGCCTCCACATGCACCACGAGAGCATAACAGCAGTTTGCGATCCGAGAGATGGGAGCAGCCGGTTCGGATTCGTGACGCAAAAAGTGCTCGATCAAAACCATCGCACGACCGCTAAATAGAATGTCAAGACGGCGGGCAGGCAGGCAGGGTTAAGGCGGGCAGGCGGCAAAAAACAAACTTAGATTTAACTCCTTTTTACCGTTACTTACAACCAGGACGAACCATCTGCTCTAATGCAAAGCCGGGTAAGCAATAAGCAAGCGTGGAAGCAAGGGGGGGGAGGCAAGCAGAGGGTGCGTTTGCAAAACAAAAACCATCTTTACGCGCGCCAGACAACTGCCCCTGGAATTTTCAATGAGTCACTTTTGTATTTGCAATGAATCGAGATTAATGTTGGTTCGCCTTTCGAGCGAGCGGCACGCTCCCAGCCTGAGGAATTACGATGTTTTTATTAAGGTCACGGAAAGGCCATTTTCTGTCTCTTAAATATATCTTTTTTTCTCTTGTTCGCCATTCCCTAATGCCAATTTGAACGTGCGCTCTTGCAAGTCCGTCCGTCTGCGCCGTCGTCGTTAGCAGGCACCGCGGTGAGTCACTCCGCCCGCCGTTCAAACGTCTGTACAGACTTGCATGCTCAATTAGCCTAAAACACAACATTGGTATGTCATTTGCATGAACGGTGAACAATCAAGTCTTGCAAAGCGCAATTCAATGCGCGAGTCGAATGAACCTCAGTCGCATGGTGGATGATGCATCGTTACGTGCTGATGAAGACGACGATTGTGCAGATGATGCTGCTGATGAGGACGGCGATTATAATGATGTTGATCATGAAGGTGGCGGTGAAGCTGGTGACGCTTGTGATGATGACGCTGGTGATGACAACGACGATGACGCTGGTGATGGTGATGACGCCGATGATGATGATGACACTGAAGAAGCTGACGCTGCTAACAATGACGATGCTGCTATTACCGACCATAACCAAATTTATGGTCGGCAGTAGCAGCATAATCATCGCCCACTTCAGCCATTTTTTCTTTCTGTGGTTGTCCCACCTGATGAAGATTGCTTGTGTTGCAATCGAAACGTAGTGATTTGTTTTATTTTATTTCTACCTACGTGACTTTACCGAAAGAGCCACAGAGTATGGATTCCTGCAGTCACGAAAGCTTCATTTAAGATTATAACCACAGTGACGACGACACCGACAAAAAATCCCACGGCCCTGCTGCCGCCGATAACCGTAAATCCGGATCGATCCGCCCCTTCTCTCCGGGCGCGAGTTCGACCTCGCGACCTTCCGCTCGCGAGCTTCCCGTCCGTCATCCGTTCGTTTCACCCACAGCGTCGATGGCAGAAGCGGCGGCAGCGGCGGCGGCGGCGGCGGTGGCGCGCGGCCCAATCGGCAACGACGCCGCCATTGGCGGCGCCGCTGGCGCGGGGGGAGCGGCGGGGGAGCGACGGGGAGCACCGAGGGAAGAGGCTGGCACCTTGTTGAAGACCCAGATCTCCCCGTTGACGGTGGGCCGTGGCACACCGTGCCCATTGTAGTGGAAGAGCACGCGCTCCTCCTTGGCGTTGCGCCGCAGAGACATGCACAGCTTCTTCACCTCCTCCACCGTGGGGTCGAGGCACTGCTTGTACCGCGCCTGAGGGTCGGAGAGTTTTTGGGGGGACGGCAGGTGCGGGGGGGGGATAGGATAGAGGGGGAGTACGTATTTATGTACGCTGAAATAATTTTGCACCGTGCGTAGGCAACCGTGCTGCACATGGGGGGAAAATACCGGAGGACCCGGAAACAAAACCACGCGACAGCAGGGAGAAAATGCAAACTCCGCATATACAGGCATCACGGTTGGGATTGATCCCACAACCTCCTGCACACCAGGCAAGGTAGTTAGCATCTTCGCTACTGTGGTGGGCGAGATGTGGCCGTCCCATATGTATGTCGAACTTCTACTGCGCCGTACGTAGCCAACCGTGCTAATCGGTGCCGGGGAAGGACAACAAACTAAAACACAAAAATAAGTTCCAACAAAATGAGTCTCCAATCGAAATTTTAAAGTGGATAGCTCCAGTGGCTTCCGAACATCGGAAGGTAGAACATTCCAGACGACTACAGAAAGTGCTTCTGCAGGTGCGCGATGCGGTGAGCGTCTCTGTTCGACGGCTATGCAAAAGCCTCCCACTGCGAGAAGGCCCGGAGAGCTCGCGCGATGATGGTTTATGGCTCCCTGACGAGATCGGCATGGTATTGTGGCAAAGTATGTCGCATGCGATGAGTGCGAGCCCATAACGTATTCGTTCGGAAAAATGGAAGTAAATGAGAGCATCGGCGAGCACTGGACCGGCATTGTCGGCAGTGGGAAAGGGGGGGGGGGGGGGAGAGAATATAGTGCAGTGGGGGGGGGGGGGGGCAGCGGGGGAGAGGCTGTGACGGAGATGGGCCGGTTGTGCGTCACGATTTTCAAGTGTCAATTTAATTTTGTTCAAGCGGAGCGCGAGAGCCGGGAGACCGGGCCAGGATATGAGTCCCGTTTTCCGAGAGCGGTCGAGTGATAATTATAGTGCTGGATACAAACCACATTTGTCAATGTGATTTGTAACTTTGATCCTTACCCGTGTACCGATAGGAACAAAATGTAATCTGAAAATGTATTTTAGTGATTTGCTCACCTTTCCTTTACTATCGTTTTTTGGACTGTTTGTCGTAACTTTCTGACCCACCCTTAACAATATCACGGATTGTTAATGTTGTGGATTTACTCTCCAACACACCAGAGTGCGGTACTAGTAACAATCTGGCATGTTCTGTTTAAGCATTCCTAACTGGCTGTGTCGATGGTGGCGGGTTTAATGACAGATTTATATTTATGCGATCTAACAAAAAAAAGACCTGTATTATGTATAATATTGGTCATGAAAGCCTACTGCGTATTAAACAAATCAAAGAGGTTTAATGAAATAATTCTATGTTATTTGTTAAAATAAATATATAACCCTGTGTGGCTTGACTTTTGGGTCACCCTGTGCATTACATTTTAAGGCTAACAGTGTTGTTATTGGCACACGTGTTGGGTAGTCGTTGTTTGTGCTAGCAGCAGCAGCATCGTCACCATCGCCATCACTAGCAGCGTCATCTTCTTTACCAGCGTCGTCGTCGTCATCATCATCATCAGCGTCATCATCATCATCATGTGGAAACTTGCTGAGCCGCCCCCTGACTGGACGTCCGTAAAAAAGAGCTTCACAGCTTATCGGATTTACCCAGGATAAAATAAAGGATTCTCATTCTGAGGGACACTATGTTGTCGGCCAAAACGACAACAGCAACAAATAATTTAAAAAATAACCAGGTTACAGCCAGCAAGTTCGCCAATAGAAATGGGCGCAAAAAACAAACCGTGACGCATCCAAAATGGTGCGCGGACATAAATCCATGTTTTAATAAATAATCATTTTTAAAAACACGCCTTTGGTGGTGCTGCTACTGCTGCATTTGGCGTAACAAGCCAAAAGCACTCAACACGTTCGTCACTAACACAACAAAAAATGTACACAATGGGTGACATTTCGCAGCGCGCAGAGAGGCCAGAAAGGTATTATTTCGATAACACGAGTTGGAGACAGCACCTCGCATATACCACGGGGGGGAGGGGGGGGCCTGATAAAAATTATAAACTTGTTTCCTGAATAAATCATAAAGCCACGTTAAATAATACATTGCCCCTGTGCCGTAATCATCGCTATCGCCATCATTATCATGAGCAGCGGCAGCATCACCAGTGCGGTGATGCGGCAGAGCGTTATTTGCGCTTTATCCGCTTGTTTGTGGTTCACGACCCCACGGCCGCCCTGGTTAATACCGCGGGGGCGTATTTACCAAAGATACAGGCGTGGGCCGATTCGCCTGGGAGGACATTCATGATCCGGTGATGGTTACTCGAAAAAGAGTAGGCCAAGGTCTGTGCCGGTGCCGCGATCCAAAATTTAAAAAGTTTCAAAAACAAACTCTCCAATTAATTTTTCTTAAACTGGGTAAACCAGAAGCAACATCGCCTGCCCACCCCAGTCCCCCACACCCCAAATTCCTCGCCACTGGCAGACGACTCGCATGCCCGTACTACGCTTTATCTTACACCACGCAAGGACAGCCTGCCAATATGGATCCCCCTAGGCTAAACTGAAACTGGACCACACTAGCCGCCAGGTGTTGCGAGACCAATCCAAAGAAAAGGCCCACAATGTCCCCAGTTTGCCGACAGGCCCAGGCAGTGGTGCAGGGGGGGCAGGGTGGGGAGGGGTGTCACAATGGCCGTGTCAGAGGCAATGAGTCGTCAGCACTGCCGAGGATCCTGGGTTCGGATCCGGGTTTCAGCCATCCGTGATTGAGCCCGGGTTCCCAAGTGCGAGAGGCAATTGACGGCCTGGCAACAAAATAAATATTCCGGAAAAAATAAACTCTGGTTTGTTGCTTAATCGGGACTCAAATTATTCCAGCTTTGACAACAAATTTTTTATCAAATTCAGTTGGATTGCAAATCCGAGGCACACAGGGGAAGTGCCACAAAGTGTGTGAAAATGAAAACAAGGCTTATGAAAATTACTCGAAAAGAATTCCGTGATTAAAAAATGTGTAATAAGTTAATCGTGTGCTTCTGAAATAAGAGCCGCCAGGGGGCGTCTTGGAGCGCTTCACACACACGCAGTGAGCAACTCGGAAAGTCACCTCGAAACATTGAAAGGGGCACCCCCCAGTGGCAGCTGCCCCTGTGTGGTACAGGGCTAGTGGGCCATTACGACGGCCAAGTTGGGTCATTAGTCTGCCAGTAGTGGGGCGATGATTGCTCCTGCCGTGTGTGATCCCAAATTGAGTCATTTGCAGGTCACGTTTCAGCATTGAGATATTTGGTGATTGGCAGTTAAAACTACGAAACTATTTTTATTTTACCAGAAAAGGCCCACTGAGCTATAAGATATTTCTCAGAAGCAACGTGGCCACAAATTATAGCTCAACAAGGTGGCTTATCGCGTGGAAATTTATAGCAGCCAAATGCTCTAAACGCACATTTCTAAATGTTTTGGAAAAAACCCGGAGGGTCCAGAGAAAAATCCACGCGACCACGGGGAGAAAACACAAACTCCCAAATATACAGCACGTCAGAGTCAGGATCGAACCCACGACCTCCTGTGTACCATGGAAGGGAGACAACATTTCACCACCACAACACCCCATCCTCCGCCCACCCGCAGCACCACATCCTGCGCCCCCCCCCCCTCCCCCATAAACAACAATGACGGTCAGGGTCCAATTATCCGAGCCACCAATTTGCGATACAAAACCCAGCGGTTGCCCTTTACCGGAGGGGAGGGGTGGTTGGGGGTGGGGGGTGAGGGTGGTGGGGGGGGAGAAATTACGCTGCTCCCATTAACTCGACCCCAACTGGACGGACACCTTTTCAAACCTCCAATTAGCAACTCGGCCCATGCACGTGAACCGTCAGATGGGCGTCCTCGACGAGGCCACATTACGAGCCTTCTGAGAGACACCCCCAGAGCTTCATTCGAGGTGCTCGGCTGGGTCGGCCAGGTATCGCTGACAGGGCCATGCTGAAACCTCCTGACATTCGCAGACCGAGCATGAAATAAGGGCTACTGTTGAACACATCACGACAGCCTAATGCAGCTTCCGTATGTGTGCACGTACAGAAGAACCCCTCTTAACAACGGTAATTGGTTCCAGTAAACCGGTCGTTAAGTGATTTGGTTGTTAAGCGAGTACAGGGAAATACACGTTAAAGGCTTAATTCGTTCTGATAGCATCGAAAATTACCCTTTTTCACCCAAACAAGTACTTTGTAATATTTAAATGGGTATAAATACGTAAACATACTATCATTATAAACACATAATATTAAAAGAAACATGGTGAATCAATGCAGTAATCAATATTTACTGTACCTACAACAGCCGGTCATTAACAGGGGAAAGGTCGGTAAGAGGAGTTTGTACTCTACACTACTATATACTACACTACGATACACTACGATACACTACACTAGACACAACAAACTAAACCCAAAAAGCAGCTCTGAATAAACGTGCTTTCAATCTGGGACCCCCGCCCCCGGTGCCAGAGACTCAGGGGCAGCGTGGTCCGGTGGTCGCACAACGATGACGATACCGATCGGACGGCATCGTGCTAACTTCGGTGATCAGCTGCGCCAACGTGGAGCGGGAAGGGGTCGCCACCTCTCGTGCTCCCAGCTGCCAGCCAGGCCCAATGGTTTGTGAGCTCGCTTCTCCAGAGGTCGCCCGCAACCCCCCCCCCCCACCACTGCTTCACAGAATTCAGAGACTCGAGAGTCGAATCGCCATGCGTTGTGCGTGTGACTGTGTACGCGCGTGTAGCTGTGTACGCACGTCTGCGTTGCGTGCGTGTGTCTGTGTGTGTGTGGGGAGAGATTGGCGCAGTGTTGACCGCGCCCTCGCGACCCGAGTTCGATTCCCGCTTGCGGCTGACGCCGGCGACAAAATATGTGACCTGGTCCTCCCCTAGGTGGACTCAGCCTCGAGTGAGCACCCAGTGCGGAAACATCGCCACTGGGGAGACAAAGGTGGCTGGGCGTGGTGCTGGCTACCCACCCACTCGTGTGCAGTGCGGTCTCCATCTGTGCTGCTCATCAACAGCATTTGCCCCTTTGTTTCCAGCTGCACGCGTCTTGAATTATGCTTGGACGTTCATGCGCGTGTGCGTCTGTGCGCATTTGCATACGCGCACGTGTGCATGTGGGTCAGTGTGTGTGTGCGTGTCGACGTGCTGTCAGGAGGTCAATGGAAAGGTCAAGGTGCTATGGGTTAAATGACCGGGATGACTGGCAGACGCATCGCCTCTGCTAATCACTATGCGTCGCCTTGCTGTGCTTTAACACAACGAAGACAAAGATCCCCCGTGTAGGCTACGTAGACCGTTGTGACAAGTGCTGTTGGCGAGCACCTATTAAGGCCAGCAAAGGGATGGGATATTACCAGCACCACGCCCAGCCGCCTTGGTCACCCCGGGGGTGATGTTTACATCCCGGGGCAGGTACTCATTTTAGCCCGAGTGACCAAGGTTCAGCCAAGCGGAATCGGTTCAGGTGTGCCACGATGGTAAGATGTTGTCACCCTCCCCTGGTACACAGGAGGTCGTGGGTTCGATCCTGACGCCTGTTTTGGAGTTTGTGTGTCTCTCTCCCTGTGGTCATGTGGATTATTCTCCAGGTCCCCCGATTTTCCCCTCCACGTTTAGAATCAACACGTGTTTAAAGTATAAGACTGCGATAAATTTCCATGCTATAAGCCACTTCTTTAAGCTATCATTTATGGCCAGGTCGCTTCTGAAAAAGAGCTAAATAGATCGGTGGGCTTTACCTGGTAAAATAAAAAATAGTTTAGTTTCATAGTTTTGTTAATTCGTCACCGATGCTGGATGTGAGCGGTATCCAATCCCGGGTCGCTGGGTTTTCGTAGCGCGGAGCACACAAACCACCGAGCCCCGATTAAGACTCAACGCGGTCACAAACACTCGCACGCACGTACGCACACGCGTGCACGCACACCCGTGTGCGTACGTGCACTCACGCACAAGGTCGCATACCCGTGGCTGCCAGCACTCGTACTGCTTCTGCAGGTTGGTTCCGATGGCCTCCAGCGACTTCTGCGGGCCCAGCGAGAGGGGGTCTGCAACGCAGCCACAGCGGCGCCCAAGAGTCAGAGCCATCGCCGCACACAACAACAACAACAGCCGCCGCCATTCGCCACCAAGTGGCGGTGACGTCACCACGGCGCTTGTGCCAGGCCATGTGCACGTTAAGGCCACGTGAAGTGTCGAACGCCCGCTGGCAGGTGTCACGGGACGGACCCAGGTGCCATGGGAAGACTGACTGAGATGACTGGCCGATGCACCGTCTTGTGCCCCCTGCTGTGCCAGACACACAGACTCTGGGGTCTGTGAGCGAGTGCCACTAGGGGGGTGGGATGGCCAGCACCAACGCCCATGTGTTTACACATTGCCCCAGATACTCATTTGAGGCTAAGTCGACCTCGAGGAGGCCTAGGACTGATTCAAATAATCGCCAAATAGAGTACGGCGTGGGGGGGGGGGGTAGTGGGTGCAGGGGAGCTTGTGACTCACCGATCCAGCACTCGAGGCGGCAGCATGGCGTCGTCTTCACCACGTCCGGGGGATCGACGCCCACATTGAGACACAGAACTAGCGCCACGCTCACCGTCTTCATCTGTGAGCAACACCGAGAGGGGGGGGGGGGTGGTGAGTGCGGGGGAAGATGCGACAGGGAAGCAGGCACGAGTCACTCTTGAGCCGGCTCCACAGCTGATGATCCTGATCGGTTGCCCAACTGAAATCCGCTCACGTTAATGAAATCGCCTGCGACCGCTTTGTGCACCAAAGACGGCCACCGCATCGCGCGCTTTCAGATGCGCTTCTGCGGCCGTCCAGTCACGCTCTTCCACTTTGAAGGCGGTACAGCAAGTGCGGACTAATCTCCATCTGTTCCATCCGTGTGGAGTAGTGTGTTGCCCCCCGCCTTGCACACGTGGTTCTTCGGCTTCCTCCCATGGCTTAAAAACAACCATACAATGTAAGTGGCATTGGCCAAACAACATCAAGTATTGAACAATTTTTTCTAATACCAGGTGAGGCCCACTGAGCTATATCGCTCTTTTTCAGAAGCGACCGGACCACAAATGATAGCTCAACGAAGTGGCTTATCGCGTGGAAATTTACAGCAGCCAAATATGTTAAACGCACGTTTCTAAATGTGGAGAGAAAAAATCCACACGATCACGGAGAGAGAGACATGGAAACTCCAAATAATCAGCAGGCGTCAGGGTCAGGATCGAACCCACGACCTCCTCTATACCAGGCGAGGTAGTCAACACCCCATCGTGGTACCCAATACTACAAAAATTACCTCCATGGCATTACATACTGCAGCATTCCCTCCCGTAAACAAATTTGGCAAGACCCTCCTGAAAAAGAGTCTTGAGACTCAGCCTGGCATGCGTGGGTGAACAAGCGGAGTAATAAAAATAACCCTGCGGGTGGAATAGTTAAATAGCTTGTATTACTCTTAACTACTGGGCATCTGTGAAATAGAGCTTCCGAACTCATCGGATTTCCCCAGGATAAAGATTGTGATTCTGTATTTGTAATAACCAGATCCTCTAGGAAGCTACAGCTGTTGCTGGAGTGTGAAGATGTTCTTATCAGAAGCTGGTTAATAAATAGCGAATTATAATTGCCAGCAAAGGTGAAACAAACTAATTAAGTAGATAACACATTTACTTCAAATATCCAGCATCCTTCACATATCAATCACTCTCCACATAAAAAAAGTATTTCTGACACAACCCACAAGCCACACTGATTCAAGACTAGCAAGCTCTTGACTGGTTTCAACATACAGCGTCTCATCAGCAGATTCAGGCTTGCCGAACCAACGCTGCCAAACTGCCGATCGTACAGGCAAGGACCATTTCTTTTCAAGATGGGTCCTAACATGCAAGATCGTCACAGCCAAAAAGCATGGGCTGGCAATCCAACCCATGAATTTTGTCTGTGACGATCTTGCATGTTAGGACCACCACCCCCCCCCCCCCAGTACCCCAGAGCAGTGAACAGATAAACAAGAGAGGAACAAACAAACGCCACATGGCCATGGCGGTGTGGAATGTGCTCTCAACCCTAGGCTTTCAGAGGCCCAGGAATTTTAAGAATGTATATTCAAATGCCTGTGGCTTATTCAGCCAAACTAAGGCGGCCCTGGAATTAGGGATAAGGGGAGTTACGAGGGCTCTGAGGGCTCGGTGTCTCAAACGCTTATTCACTCTCAAACAAATTATTCGGTGATGCTGTTGCCGCGGCTGCGTTGGCAGCGGGGCCTTGAAACTAAAAAGGTGAAACGGCAAGTCCTCGCTTAACGTGCGGTGTTCACGCAGCGCGTTTTCGCTATAACGCGGTTCTTCTATTAGGGAACACTTTTCGCACAACGCGGAAAGCACCTCTTTATGATGCAGAATTTGCACCCCCCGTTATAACTAGGAAAACGCACCATTATGACGAGGAAACATGCGCCTTTATAACCCAGAACACATCGTTACAAGGTGAAAACACGCACCGCGATAACCCGGAACACACATCGTTATAGTGCAGAAACACGCGCCGCGATAACCCGGAACACACATCGTTATAGTGCAGAAACACGCAGTGTTATAACTCGGAACACACATCGTTATAGTGCAGAAACACGCGGTGTTATAACCCGGAACACACATCGTTATAGTGCAGAAACACGCGCCGCGATAACCCGGAACACACATCGTTATAGTGCAGAAACACTAGGTGTTATAACCCGGAACACACATCGTTATAGTGCAGAAACACGTGCCGCGATAACCCGGAACACATCGTTATAGTGCAGAAACACGCAGTGTTATAACCTGGAACACACATCGTTATAGTGCAGAAACACGCACCGCAATAACCCGGAACACATCGTTATAGTGCAGAAACACGCGCCGCGATAACCCGGAACACACATCGTTATAGTGCAGAAACACGCGGTGTTATAACCCGGAACAGACATCGTTATAGTGCAGAAACACGCGCCATTATAACCCGGAACACGTATCGTTATAAAGCGCGGAACACACACCGCTATAGCGCAGAACATGCACAGTTATAGTGCGGGGACGCACGCCGTTATAACGCGGTTTCTGAGCGGTCGATGACGAACTACTTTCTTGAGCTGCGCGGCTGAGCGGTACAGTGATACGACACGCGGAACGATACAGTAACGCGGTGGCAGCATACCCTCAAGTTACTTGTCCCGCCATCTCACCGCGCGGTGTGCCGTAGTTAATCATATCTTGCCAAACTTTATCGTCACATTATTTATGGGGATATGATTTTCGCCAAACGCGGCACTTTTCAGGAACGCATCTCCTGCCGCGCTGAACGAGGACTCGCCATGCTGGGCGACGTTTAGGGACATGTCCCTTCTTGACACCGTACAGACGGGTCGAGTGGCCTAAGTGCTCTGAAAGGCCATTGCCCCTCTACTATATAGAGGGTAGCCCAAAGATCAGGACACAGATAGGGTGATTCTATTTGTTTCAACACTCGCATAACATCATTTTGATGGTTTATACTTCTTAAGTTAACTATCTATTATTTTATTTGGATTTTTCTTATTGCTTTGAGGGGGTGGGGTCACCTCAAATCATCGTTTAAAAAAATCGACCACCCCTCTAAATGAATTAATTGAGACAATAAAACATACATTAACGACTGTTCAAGGATAACACACTTTGCAATCTTCTTTTTGCAAAGTCCTACATCCATTTCAATAGTGCCCTCGTGCATCATACATACATGCGTGTTAATGGCAGTTAGTTTCAACATTTGTTGATATAAATTAAAATTACCCTCCGACTCGTTCAAATAAATATAATAACCCTGCGTGTCCTGACCTTCGGACCACCGTGTATATTTTGCTTTAAGGCCAACAGTGTTGTTATTGACACACGTATTGTTTGTGCTACACTGCCAGAGCAGCAGCAGAATCAGGTGTGTAAATTTGCTGACCCGCCCCGACTGAACATGTGAAAAGGAGCTTCATAGCTCATCGGATTCTTCCAGGATAAATAAAGAATTATGATTTTAACGTGGTCAAATGGAACTGTTCGCTTCACTGCTGCAGTATTGACATTATTGTTGTTGTTGTTGTTTGAGACCCATTCAGATCATAACTTGCCAAGTTTAGATATGCAGTTAGGTGGGTTGGTGAGTAGGTGGGTGGGCAGATATTCAGGTCGGAGGGAGGGTAGGTATTCAGCGAGTTGGTAAGGTGGGAGCTTGGTTGCCCAGTAGTCTTTATTTAGCCCCGGGCAAGAACCCATCTAGACCCAAACTCCCCTTGCCAGGGAAAAACAAGCACGGGAGGAGGAATGTGGTTGCAGGATGGTGGGACAGAGTTGGGACAGGAGGGGTGGCGGGAGGGTTGGTGGGGGGAGGGCAGTGGGTGGCGGGGGGGTGACCATAACACAGCGGTGTTGTGGTTTTTTGTGGAAGTGAGTTTCTAGGAACCCGGATTGCGGCTTCGGACTCGCTCTCTTGGGGAACGGATTTGCAGGGGGCAGGCGGCGAGCAGCGAACCCCAGGAAGCGGCCAGCACCGCAGCAACAACTGCAACCGTAATGAACGTGCGCCTTATTGTCAATTTTACTGCTGGATGAGGCGCCGTCACCCGCCGCCTCGTCGCTCAGTAAGGGTTGGGCAAACGCAGGAGGGACCGGTGACTGCTTCGGACGTTCGCCGTGGCCGGGAATCGAACCTCAGGTCGGGCCCCAGGGTCAATAACGGCGCGGCGTGCCGACCCGCAGTGGCAATGCCGGTGAAAGAAGCAATCACGGTGGCGAGCCGTGGAGCAGAAATGGCAACTCACTTGGAGAATCACGGCGGAAGGAAACAACTTTGTCCAACGGAGCCGCGTGTGCTGACATGCAGCTTTCACTCGTCACGCACATACACAAAAACTGCTCACCACAAATGAACCGCAATACCTTTGCTATTCTCGTCAAGGAGAATAAACCATCATGCGAACTCCGATCATCCTCTTTTGGCTAACCATCGAACAAGGACGGTCACCACATCGCACACGCTTTCAGATGCACTTCTGTGGCCGTCTGGAACTCTCTGCCTTCCGATGTTAGAAAGACACTGGATACCCACTTTCAAATCATCGAGATTGAAAACTTATTTCTTCAGAACTGCTTTTTGCGTTTAGTTTGTTGTCCTTCCCCCGCACCTCCGATTAGCACGGTTGGCTACGTAAGGTGCCAAGGAAATTCAACATACATACATTTTATTTAATACTTCCTTTTTTATGCTATTCATTGCGCGCGGTTGCACTTTATTTTACTCAGTCGATGTTAGCCGCTGAGGTCGTGACGGGTTTCTTGCATCACTCCTGTTGCTCCATGCCCCCAGTACCATTCCGCTGGAATGTGCACTGATGCCCACTTTATTGAGGGCTCTATTGGCACGGGAAAAAAAAGACTGATTGATTGATTTAGCTACAGAGGCTGTTGTTTCTGAGGCACGGGTGGGTTCGATGCAGGGTGTGTGTGACGATAATGAGGATCCATTTATTAATAAGGATTTTTGAGCTTGTGACGATAAGGAAAGATTTTCGATTCGGACACCGCATGCTGT